ATCATCCTCTTCTTCATCTTCTTCTACTTCTTCATCATCATCCGCTTCTTCTTCTATCTACTTTCTACTTCTTCATCATCATCCTCTTTTACTTCTTCATCATCATCCTCTTTCTTTTTCTTCATTATCATCATCCTCATCTTCTTCCTCTTCATCATCATCCTCCTCTTCTTCTTCTCATCGTCATCCTCCTCTTCTTCTTCTTCTTCATCATCATCATCCTCTCATCATCATCATCTTCTTCTTCTCGTCGTCGTCATCCTCCTCCTCTTCTTCTACTTCGTCATCATCATCCTCTTCTTCTTTCTACTTCTTCGTCATCATCATCCTCTTCTTCTTCTACTTCTTCATCATCATCCTCTTTTTCTTCTTCATCATCCTCTTCTTCTTTTTCTTCGTCATCATCATCCTCTTCTTCTTCATCATCATCATCATCATCATCTTCTTCTTCTTCTTCATCCTCTTCTTCCTCTTCTTCTTTTTTCTTCTTTTTGTCTTCCTCTTGCAGGTCACTGCTCATGCGCAGATTTTTTATCGGTAAAAAATCGGCCGATTAGCCCATTATTGCTGCGAAAATCGGCCGATCGGCGAAATCGGCCGATTTTTTTCCAACTTTCCTGATTAAAAAAAACGGCCAAAATACCGAAAAACGGCCGAACAAATAGCCCACTAACGATCCGAAAATCGGCCAATTTTATTTTCGGCCGAAAAATCGGCCGATTTTCGACCCATCTATGGCCTGCATAAGTCACTGGTTCTGTCTCCAACTTTGTACTGAGAAAAACTAAAGTTTACTTTACTTTTACACTACTGTTTCTGACATCTTATTTAACCGCTTTCCCTCTGCCCTATAGCAGATATACTGCTACAAGGGATGTGCAAAATCACTGCAGTCCTGTTATAAGTTGCTGATCACCGCCATTACTAGTAAAAATTAAAAAAAGAAATGCCAGTATATAAACTGCCATTTGTTTCTATAACTTTCACGCAAACCAATTAATTTACTGTTATTAATTTTTGTTAGCAAAGACATGTACCAGAATACATTTTGGCCTAAATTTATGACAAAATTAGATTTTTAAAATTTTTTTCCTAGACATGTTTAAGAGCAAAAAGTCAAATATAGTTTTTTCTGAAAATTGTTGGTCTTTTTTTTTTTTTTTTTTATAGTGCAAAAAATAAAAACTGCACAGGTAATCAAATACCACTGAAAGAAAGCTCTATTCGTGGGAAAAAAAAGGACGGAAATTTATTTTGGGTGCAGTGTTGCATGACCGCGCAATTGTCAGTTAAATTAACGCAGCGCCGTAACTCAAAAAATGGCCTGGTCAGGAAGGGGGGTAAATTCTCTGGAGGGCTAAGTGGATAACGTGTTACTAAATCCACAACAGTAAAATCAGTCTGTATATGCAGTAAAGCATGCTTGTTATGCTCACTGTGGAACCTAAGGGGTTAATCCTCTGCATTGTGTAAAAACGCTGTTTGATCCAGACTTTTGATTCTGATCCTTCCCTTCTTCACTGCACATGCTCAGTTTGGTGTGTATTGTTAGAGAGGTTTTTCATTTTTCTTGGGATAGTACATGTAATCAGCACAGGGCTAACCAGCACGGTCCAGACAGAGGCCAGGGGTTCTGCATCCTCCTAGAGCAAAATGAAAACTCCTACAAGCTTTAACATGTGCTCGGGCTAGACACTGATAGAAGTCACATGACTGCTGTAACTGCTGATGAAAAAAGGTATTTAGCAGTTTATATGTATGAACATAATTGCATTTCAGTGTTCTGTGTAGTGTGGGAGACCATATATAGTAAATGCAGGATCCTGGATTTAGTAACATTTTAAGTTGTCCAGCTATCAAAGTGCAGATCTCAGCCAGGGTAGCAGTCAAAAACTTGCACTGAAGTTTATAATTTAGAGGCTCAAGCCCATCTCTGGGCAACAAAAAGGTTTTCCCATGTAGTTGGGCCGTGCATGCACCACACGGGTCAACTGCTTGCTTTGTCTAGCAGTGAGTAGAAAGCTTATATTCACCTGATCCTTTGTTCCACTGGAATCCAGTACTCCCTCGCGGTCCAACAGTGGACTGTTTCTGGTCTATGGAGCCTGCTCTGGGATCGATGATGTCAGAAACAGTCCACAACTCAAGTCCGCTGGAGCTCGGGGGTTCCAGGACGATCTTGCGCTGAGAAGATCATCTCCCCTCCCTTAGACAAAAACAAGCAATTGACCATGTAGTGTGGGCATGGGAAAACTTTTTTTGCTGGAGATGAGTTTTAAGAATTGGCATTCTCTCTTTATAAAAGTTCTTCCCAACACTGCATGAAGATTGTACTCTTCTGTACTCATATTTTGAAGTTATCAATGGGTCTAATTTGCTTACCAGTTCTTAGATGTGATGGCTGCAGTAATTTTCTTTTTTAGGCTTTCTTTTTTAATTTCACCTGGTGATCGAACTAGAAAATATGTTGTTTTTTTTCAGCTGAGCAAGCTGTCCTGCAGATGTAGTAATTAGAAGGATGAGACAAACCATTTAACAGTAGCAGTGGTGCTTACTATGGTCAGCTTTTATTCATTTATGTAAAAACTTTATCCCAAAAGAGACAAAACTCTTTTAACTGCATAAAAAATGTTAGGTAGAGTTTGGCTTCAATTTCAATTGGCTGCTAGTTCAGTATAGTTGTGAATTCCCAGGAGAGTCAGGCCGTCTTGGATGCCAAAGGTAGTCCACCACCATATTAGGCAACCATTTAGTTCTTTACCTGGTGTTTCCATAATTTTGTCCAACCCCTGTACATCTGTCACTCTCCTCTCCCCAGACTGACAGTGCTGCTGTCCAAAGGTGTCTGTTTTTCCACTTCAAGAGTGTACACACTCTAATTCAGGAAGTGTTACTGGCCGGAACACCAGGTGATAACAGATGGAAAAAGCCTAAAAAAGAAAATTAATACAGGCACCGCATCTAATGATTGGTAAGATGCAATATATTACATTTTTGGGTTTAATACCACTTTAATGTGCACCTGACTTTCCTTCAAAAATACACATTTTTGCTTGTACCTTCATCACTTCATCACTACGTATCACCAATGCATATACTAACTTTAACATCTCTACCACTGCAATTTGGAAAAACAATTCAGACCTTCAGCTATGTAACTCAAAAATGTTCACTTGTGTCAGACTTCATGGTATCATATTGATTGTAATATTTATTATTTGACTGGTTTCACAAACTTTAAAATAAACCCCACCATGTTTTTGGATTATCAACATCTGTCTTGACATGTTCCAGGGTAATTGAGTTAGGGTTATAGATTACCCATGTAGCTATAAATGCTAGGGTATGTTCCTGACAGTCATTTGAGCTAACAAAGCTAGTTGTGTGAGTGGTGAAACATTTCCAGTATTACAGATCAAGTTCAGCTATTTGTGATGAACTAATACTAACTACAACATGACCTGGGTGAGTGAGAACCTTTATGGACATGTCTGATGCTAATGGGCTTCAATATGTATAAACCCGTGCTTCTTGCATTTATGACTTAAAGCAGAGCTCCACCCATAAGGGGAAGTTTCGCTTTAATCCTTTGTCCCCGCTCCCCATTAAGGATTGGTACCTTTGGGGAGTGGGGAGGGGGTGCCCGAAATTTGACAAGTACCCGCTCCCACTTCCGCTGCGATCACCTAGGCAGTCGGAAGAGGAAGTTGTCCTCCCTCCCCGTAGCCTTTTGGGACACGTGACTACAGGACCATTCACAAAGCACAGCACTTCTCGCTCATGCACTGAAGATGCCGGCGCCAGGCAGAGAGGACCGCCGGTGAAACCAGTGGTGGTAAGAACACCGCTGGACGGAGGGACAGGTAAGTGTCTGTATTTTAAGAGTCGGCAGCTACAGTTTTTGTAGCTGCTGACTTTTATTTATTTTTTTCAGGTGGAACTCCACTTTAAGCAAGGCATTACAGTGACATGGGGAAAGATGAATTTCCTTTAGAGGGTAGGAAAGAGAAGTAGGGTGAGGTCAAGGCCTTTAATAAAGCAGTGAATGTTCAGTTTTGGAATTAATTTTTTGTATTTCTCATGCAGTAGCACCTTGTAATATTTTTTGTGATAAAATCTAACCTAATTGAGGTGATTTTTTTTAAAACTAAATATATTTATGATGTAGATTAAGAAAATCTCCAAAAATAGGATTTTTTTTGGCACTCACAAAGAAACTCGCAACACATGAAAAATAGTTTTAAAATATAATTTATTTGTGCCATAAAAATTGCATATAGACAGCACCCATCAATATAGTCCCTCAAGAAGTTAAAAATAGATAACCTAGATTGTAGCTGATCAACCACCACATGATGCATAGTTTAGAATCATCACAACAGCGTAGCCCTGTATGTCCAGAGGTCTGTGCCTTGTGGCATAGAGATGCTTCTTCAGAACCCAAAATGTACTGGATGTAGTTGGGCTTTGTACTGAGATTTCCATAGGCTGGGGCTTGCATAACTATTACATTATTTGAAATGTGGTGTAGTAAGTTTGTTTGTGAGTGTCAGAATGAGAGTCCTGTTTTCTACGATTTTGGCTCTATTATATTTGGCAAAGCTGGCACCTACAAAAACACAAATTCAGGGGCTTCACCGATCTATAATGTATCTGCAAATTTAAGATGTGTGGTAAAATACAACATGCAGGAATTATAAAAATAATTTTACGTAACTTAATTCAGGTAACATTTATTTTCTCATGTAAATCCTTTTATTTTATGGTTACTAATGGTTCAGAACTACTGATGTACAAGTCTCATAAACTTTCTTAAACTAAACCCATTGATATTTGCTGTTTAATGCATTAATGTTTTAATATCTTGAGGTTCGATGTATTCTTTGTAAGTAATTTTATTTCCTTTTATACTTGAGTTGTAAAGCTTGTTGTAGTAGAATAAAGGATAAGTGTAACTGAATAACAAAATATAACTTTTTTTTAATATTGATTCTCTAAAGATGTCCAGATAAACATCAAGCGTTGTTTGAGCGATGGATGTGATACAAGAATACATGGCCTTCGCGCTGTTGGCTACCAGAAGCTAAAAAAGTCTGTAGTATCCATATCTGATGCATCAGCTATATGGTATCTTTCTCTGCTGACATCGCTTGTCACTACTTCAATGGAAACCAATCCAGCGCTTGCACAGGCTGTCCAGCAGCACACACAGTATGTAGCGATGCAGAAGTTATTGTATTGTCAAATTGCTTAGATCTATTAATTAGTTTTAATATTGTTTTACATTTAAATTACAAAATACAGACATGCTAGACACAAAAAGAGGAATTTTGACTTCCCTGTTGGTGTAAAGTACAGGACCCAGGCTGAGTTTTCACAGACCCTGGATTATAAGCTCATACATTTCAGGTGATTGGACGTTGGCAAGATTTTGAAAACACACCCTCAGGGTACCCATTCTATGAGTCCTTAGCATGTAATGCGGAGTAACCAAGGAATAGATGGGAGGGGGTCCTGTACTGTACTCCAAAGTATGGAATTTACAAGTAAATCAAAATTCTTCTCATAATTGTTTGGTACAGGACACAGGCTTGAGTATTCATAGACTCTGGGATGTGCCCAAGCGAATGATTAGATGGGTGTATAACAACTAGGTAAACAGAACTTTGCCAACAGGCTCAACAACAATGGTCAATAAGTACCACTGCAAGTACCTTGTTGCCAAAAGCTGCATCTGTAAAAGATTAGATGTCCACCTGGTAGAACTTTCAAATGGTATGAACAGAGGACCAAGTGGTGGGCTTACAAAGCTGTGCTACAGAGGCCTGATGCTGGAAAGCCCAACCTGGTGGAATAGGCATGTAACAGAATTTGCCCTTGACAGTGTAAGCTTAGTGATCATTTGCGTTATCCATAGAGTGATGGTGCACTTGGAAGCAGGATGAAGTCATAAGAAGAAGACAAATAGGGAATCTGTCTTCCTGATAGAAGCTGTTGCTTTGAAATAGACTCTTTTATGGCTTTGACTATGTCCATTCAATGAAGGGACATTTTCTTTGGATGCTTTAGAGCAGGGCATAAGGATGATAGGACTGGGTCTTCATTGCGGTGGAAGACCTTGAGAAGAAAGGATGGTCTTGGGTGTAAGACCATCTTGTCATTGTGAAGGATGGAGAATGGAGAGAGAGGTCATCAAAGGGGATATCCCTGATGGGTTAAAATGCTGGTTTATTCAGGGCAGAGAGAAAAAACAGAGCTGAAATCCCAAAGGAAACAGAGGTTGCTGCTTGATGTGAGAGATACCTTGAATAAAGGTTTTGGCAAGAAGGAAATCAAAGGTTTTTAAAGAAAATGGACAAGACCAAAACCTGTTCTGCCAGAGTGCTTAAGGCAAAGTTCTGGTCAAGACCCGATTGTAGAAAGGCCAAAATGGGAGGCACAGAGTAGGATTGAATTGCCTGTGTTCACACCAGACCAGGAATGCTTTTCAGTTTGGATAGTAGATCTTTCTGGTAGTAGCTTTTGTTGCCTTTAGTAAGGTAGGAATGATCAACTCAGATACCCCTCTGTCTCTTAAGACCTGGGCTTAAACAGCCATGCCATTACAGCCAGGGACTGAGAATCAGGATGAAACATAGGACTCTGAGATAGCAGGTCTGGCTTTTTTTTGAAGAGGCCAGGAGTTGTCTTCTAGTAGTTTGAATGTGTTTGTATACCAGGTTGTTCTGCGCCAGTTTGCAGAAATGAGAATCATCGTCTTCTTTCCTTGCTCTATTTTGTGGAGCAGATGAGGTAGCATTTACACTGAAGGGAAGGCATAGATTAATCTAAACTGAGACTAGGGGATTATCAAGGCATCTGATGCTAGTGCTAGGGGATACTTTGTCCTGGCCACAAACAGTGATAGTTTGTTGATAAATCTGGAGGCCATGCAGGGCTTTATGGCCTACAATAACCAGTTATTTGCTAACTCTGGTCACAGAAGTGCGTTTCTGCACCTTTTTTCCCACAGATTCAATATGCGACTTGCCTATAGCCACAGAGGCTTCAAATTCATCAGCCCCAGTGTCGCTACATTCCCTGACATATGAGTTTGCCCTTGAGGAGTCAGTCTGCTGTCATTACTCACAAAGTTTTGGCTGATTTTGATGCAATGCGCACTATTCTAAAATATGTCAGCTAGTTGCTTCTGCCAGTGACGTTACCGGTCTTGAGTCCTTCTACATGTCCTGAAGCTTCAAAGCATTTTTCCTTGCACAAAGATTTGAACTCCCCCAATAATCTGTTTGGTTCTTCCAATCACTTTTTGGTCCTGTACCTGTTTGGAGGATTTTGAGGAAAAGTGGTCTTTTACCAGCTGTGGATCTTCCTCAATCCTGTTCCTAATAAGGTGCTTAATATTCCTGTAGAGGACATACCTGGTTCCAAGGACCCAACCAAAAAGTAATGTGAGTGCTAGACCCTACCACTGTGCCAGTATAGGCAAATGGCATACAGGCTTCTCAAAGGTACCGTTTGTGAACCCTGCATTTGAGCGGTAGGGCTGCTCTTTTACTGCCCCCATCTCTTTACTCCTTTAGCTGCAGAGGTAGGAGACGGGTGATGCTTTGCCTTGTGGCCACGGCAGGAGCTATACCCCCTTTCGCTTTCGGTAAGCTTAGTGCCCTCTGAACGCGACCCATTCAAATAAATAGGGCCACTCTGCAAGTGTCCTGTAACTGTGGCACACTAGTGTGGGGTTCAGGGGGTTAAAATAGGCAGTGAGTGGGCAATACAACGTTTCCTCACGTCCCGTCAATTGCTGTCTGTAGAGCGATCCAAACGTGGATGGCTTTTTAGAGAGCAAAGCCAGTGTGAACAAGCCCTTAAAGTTGACCTCCAGCCAACCAGCTAAATAGATTGGTGAGATGCATATGGTGTCCTGTCCATCAAGTTATGAGATTTTCACTGCTCTGCCATAGTTATGAAAATGGAACTGTTCATTCTCTGCTGCAGTTATGTAATAGCCCCTCAGCCAGCCTGTGACTAAGCAGCAGACCAGAGAACATATCTATGTCTCTCTGAATTCTCCTGCTGGCAGCATGATCACTGTTAGAACATGAGCACTGAAACACAGCTGATTGGTTACTTGTGTTGCTTCTGCCTCTCCCAGTTCAAATTATGCTCTGTTGTGGGCTGCAAGAGACTGATAACAAATCAAATTCTGGTAGTTTCACTGCTTGCATTTATAAAATACATGGTTTGTGTTGTTGGTATCCTGGAAGATTAGGATATGGATTAACATAGTGGCTACCCCTATGGTTCTCTTTCAAGCCCACAAGCTTGTATTAATGCACTGGAAAGATCATCTTCTTCCCCCTACTAACCAGCAATGTGTTGATCAAATGAATATGCAATATGTTCAGAGAAGAATATCTACTTGCATCTGGAGACAAAGGCTCGATATCCCTGGCCTTTGAATAGGTCCAAGATGGACTTCATCTCTGAGGAAAGAATCACTTTTTGTGGGTCTAGCTGAATTGCAGACGGTTCTGCTGCTTGCGCATTGGGGAAGGTTGGGGTGGTTGTGGGGGGCTTTTTCATATAGCTTTGTCCTGGTGCACGCCCATTGCTAGTATATATGGGTCAAGGTGTTAAGAGTTCCCTTTGGGGATATTGTACTGTATTATGACTGAAAGCAATAACTTTGACTGTAAATTAAGTTGGAATATATCATGATTTGTCAACCAAATGTTTCACAACACAAGTTGAAAAATAGATGGTTGACACAGTTCTGTACATTTGCAGTGCCCTTAATCTGTATAGCACACCATGCGCTAAAGTGCAGTACACGTGTTGCAGCGTGCCACAACACACATTCATACTCCACATTGAGCTCAGATTGATAAAGGGATAAGCAGCACAAGGAACTAGTCAGTTGTGTTGCAGCATTTACTGTATGTTCTAATAAGTCAGCTGCCTCTCCTTTCACTGTCCATTCACAGACCGGGGGTGGGACAAACCTGAAAGCGTCACATGCAGTAGATACATATCATGTCCTCTGTTAACATGATGTATTAAAGAATTATAATCTGCAAACATCATACAGGTTACAAACCTTGTCAGATCACGAATACAGTATTCGCCCCCATGTAAGTTTATACCACAACGCTATTACTATAGTAGTCTCCTCCAAACTAAATGGCGGCTTGTGTTGTGAATGACATTGGCTGGAGAGCAGCACTGTTATTCACAAAAACACAACCAGAGAGCAGTTTAACCCAGCAGCTCCCGCATTTGTGTGAGGGAAACTAGTTGCCATTTTGTATTACTATTGGCTTGTATTTTTGTGAATGACAGTGCTTCTTTCCAGACACCATCATTTACAGTACAAGCTGTGTGAGTGAAAGTGGTTGCAAAGGCTCAAGGTTGTTTTACCTTCATGAATTCTATGCATGAAGTTAAAAAACCTGTGTGCAGCAGTGCCCCCAGCCCCCTCAATACTTACCTGAGCCCATTGAGATCCAGCGATGTGCACAACAGCCTTGGCTGTCCCGGTTCTCTGGCACCTCATTGGCTGTGACAGCAAGTGTGAGCCATTGACTCTTGCTGCTGTAAATCACAGCCAGTCAGCCAGTGAGGAGAGAGGGGTGGGGCCAAGCCACGGCTCTGTGTTTGAATAGACACACAGAGCAGCGGCTCGGGAACACGCCTGCTTGGATGCCCCCATAGCAAGCACGCGACAGAAAGGAGGAGCCAGGAGATCCTGTTGGAGACCCGAGAAGAGGAGGATCCAGGCTGCTCTTTGCAAAACCAATGCATAGAGCAGGTAAGTATAACATGTTTGTTATTTTACAAAAAAAATTTTTTACTTTAGTATTGCTTTAAGTCTTCTAACAATACAAAGGGAGCAGAGAAGGCACAAGGTTCACTGGCAAGGACTGCTGTGGATGTAGAGAGGAGGCAGGGGCTGTGTGGGCTGTATGTGTTCTGTGTCTATACCAGTCCCTCCTCCTCTGTAAACTGTCACTCAGAAGCTTTTCTCCTTGCTCCTGTGTGGTTGGATAGTGGTGGATAGCAACTGACCATGCATCTCGACAACCCCTGCACAGATGTTATTGGAGAAAATGCTATGTGCACTGTGTCCCTGAGGGATTTAAAAAGCCCCTTTTAAGTTTTTATGATATTTCTTTAATGCTTGTCTTTCTTCATGCCCTGTGACTCAAAAACTTAAGTAAGTTTTTTTTTTTCTTTTTTAATTTTTTTTTTTAGAAAGGCTTTGCAGCACATGATACCTCTCTCTTTAACACAAGGAACTGCTGAGTTTCCAAATTTTTTATCACCAAATATTCTGGAAGAGGTGAACAGCTTTCTGATGAGGACTGCAAGGTAACTGACTTTTGACTAATATTTTGAGAGCGAAAGTTTATTTTCACACTTATGGCATTTTGTGTTTCTTTTGCAGCTGCTGTCCCACACCAGCAGTGGATTTAAATCTCTTGGCATTTGCTTTGGCCAGAGGGAATATTGCTAAAGTGATCACCTCTCTTTGTACCATTATGGACCATTTGGATTTACAGTACAAAGCTGCCTCCCTTTTAAATTCAATGGAATCTGTTAGAATCAATCTTCTCTATAAATATGGTAATGTTTTTGTGAGTTGCCGAAATGCGTATAATTGTATTTTAGGTGAAGCTGTGTTTACTCGTGTCTTTGTCTCAATTAGCAAGCACAGTACAAGTGTTCATGCTGTCACGTGTGCTTCATATGCATCTCCCCTACCCTTTAGTCAGGCTAAATCATTTATATCATTTTTAAATTATTTATTGATGCCCTTCACTGAGACACCATAGAACTTTGCTACAATAAAATTAGGTGGTAAACCTTGGGGTTTCAAAAACCTTCAGTAATCCTATTCTGTCATAACCACCTGTGAGGCTCATCAAAGTAAAACTTACTTGCAGATAGCCCTATGAGTGTTTGGCACCTGCTGATCACTCGCTGGCACCCGGTGATCGAGGAGCATTACTGACGGAGGGAGAGAACTGTACGTAAAGACTACAGTTCTCTCCCCTGTCAGCTCCTGCACACTGCTATGCATGGCTTTGCATAGCAGAGCCATGCGTAACAGTGTGCTTACAGTGAAGCACAAACACAGCACACAGTTAACCCTTTGATCACCTCACATGTTAACCCCTTCCTGCCCAGTGCCATTAGTACAGTGTCAATGCTTTTTTTTTTTAGCACTGATCACTGTATTGGTGTCACTGGGGATGTCAGTGACACCAAGTCAGTTCCCCCCAGTGTCAGAATGCTCGCCGCATTTGCACTATAAGTCGCTGATCACCGCCATTACTAGTAAACATTGAAAAAAAAAATCCCAGTTTATATACCACCATTTGCAAACGGTATAACTTTCACGTAAACAAAATAGTATACATATCAAATGGTTAAACTGAGAAAATGTACAATTTTAAGAAAAAAAATAAGAATTTTGAAATTGATGGGAACAACACATCTCAAAGTTGGGACAAAGCTATGTTTACCACGGTGTAGCATATACTCTTCTTTTAACAACACTCTGTAAACATCTGGGAACTGAGTAGAGCAGATGCTGGAGTTTTTGAAGAGAGGAAATGTCCCATTCTTGCCCGATCTAGGATTCTAATTGCTCAACAGTCCTGGGTCTTCTTTGTTGTATTTTTTATTTCAAGATGTGACAGATAATTGGTGAAAGGTCTGGACTGCAGCCAGGCCAGTTGAGCACTCAGACTCTTCTATTATGAAGTCATGCTGTTAATGTAGATGCAGCATGTGGTTTAGCACTGTCCTGCTGAAATATGCAAGGCCTTCTCTTAAAATGACGTTGTCTGGATGGGGGCATATAGTGCTCTAAAACCTGGATATAGCTTTCAGTATTGATATTGCCTTTTCAAATGTGAACTAATGCACACCCATAACATCAGATGCAGGCTTTTGAACTGTAAATAAAATATGGGTTTATGAGATTTGCAAATTAATTAATTTTGTTTTTATGTAGATTTTACAGTGCCCCAACCTTTTTGGAATTGTGGTTGTATTTAAAGTATTTGCAATTTTATGTTGAGGAACATTATTCTGAAATTGTTGGACATCTTTACTTCTAAGACACTCTAATGCTGTTTTATACCCAATCGTGTTACTGGCCTGTTGCCAATTAACCTAACTAGTTGCAATATGTTCTTCCAGCTATTTCTTGCTAGTTCCACTTACTTTTCCAGCTTTTTGTTGCCCTGTCCCAACTTTTTTGAGACATGTTGCTGTTATCATGTTGCTGTTAAAATTGCCTTATTTTTTGGTAAAAATTATACATTTTCTCATTTGTTTTGCAAATTCTTTATTTAAAACTGAGTTCCAGTCATGCTGTAAAAAAATACGTCAGCAGCTACAAAAACTGTAGGCTGACTTGTAAAAAAATAGCCACTCACCTGTCCCTTGATCCCGCTGTGTCTTCCCCGCAGCACGTTTCACCTGCAGTCCGGTGTTCCTGGTGCTGACATTTTCATTGTGGGCACATGGCTGTGACAGCTTGTGGCTTCACAGCCGGGTGCCCACTATGCATACGTGAGTAGTGCTGTGCCTTGTGAATGGTCCCGTAGTCTTCTGGGACCTGTGATTTGTCCCAGAAGACTACAAGGAGTGGGGGGGTGGACAACTTGCGCTTCTGATTGTTTAGGCCAGAGGTCTCCAACTTTCTAAAGAAAGGGCCAGGGGCAGTTTACTGTCCTTCAAACTTTAGGAGGGCCGGACTCTGGTCAGTGGGAGTGGAAAATGTCCTCGCTTGAGAGTAAATAATGTCCCTTGATTAGTATTAGTGGAAGGAATAGTGCCCCATCACTCGTATCAGTAGGAGGAATTGTGCCCATCATTGGTGTCAGTGGGAGAAATAGTGCCCCATGAATAGTGTCCTGTAATTGGTATCAGTGGAAGGAATAGTGTCCCATCATTGGTGTCAGTGGGAGGAATGTCAGTGTCAGGGGAGGAATAGTGTCCCATCATTGGTGTCAGTGGGAGGAATAGTGTCCCATCATTGGTGTCAGTGGGAGGAATAGTGTCCCATCATTGGTGTCAGTGGGAGGAATAGTGTCCCCATCATTGGTGTCACTGGGAGGAATAGTGCCCCATCATTGGTGTCACTGGGAGGAATAGTGCCCCATCATTGGTGTCACTGGGAGCAACAGTGCCCCATCATTGGTATCATTGGGAGGTATAGTGCCTCATCATTGGTGTCATTGGGAGGAATAGTGCTCCCTCATTGGTCTCAGTGGGAGGAATAGTGCTCCATCATTGGTCCCAGTGGGGGGAATAGTGCCCCATCATTGGTGTCACTGGGAGGAATAGTGCCCCATCATTGGTGTCACTGGGAGCAACAGTGCCCCATCATTGGTATCATTGGGAGGTATAGTGCCTCATCATTGCTGTCATTGGGAGGAATAGTGCTCCCTCATTGGTCTCAGTGGGAGGAATAGTGCTCCATCATTGGTCCCAGTGGGAGGAATAGTGCCTAATCATTGGTATCAGTGGGAGGAATAGTGTCCCATCATTGGTGTCAGTGGGAGGAATAGTGTCCCATCATTGATGTCAGTGGGAGAAATTGTGTCCCATCATTGGTGTCAGTGGGAGAAATTGTGTCCCATCATTGGTGTCAGTGGGAGGAATAGTGTCCCATCATTGGTGTCAGTGGGAGGAATAGTGTCCCATCATTGGTGTCACTGGGAGGAATAGTGCCCCATCATTGGTGTCACTGGGAGCAACAGTGCCCCATTATTGGTATCATTGGGAAGTATAGTGCCTCATCATTGGTGTCATTGGGAGGTATAGTGCCCCATCATTGGTGTCATTGGGAGGAATAGTGCTCCCTTATTGGTCTCAGTGGGAGGAATAGTGCTCCATCATTGGTCTCAGTGGGAGGAATAGTGCTCCATCATTGGTCTCAGTGGGAGGAATAGTGCTATATCATTGGTCTCAGTGGGAGGAATAGTGCTCCATCATTGGTCTCAGTGGGAGGAATAGTGCTATATCATTGATATCAGTGGGAGGAATAGTGCTCCATCATTGGTCTCAGTGGGAGGAGTAGTATCCCATCATTGGTGTCAGTAGGAAGAATAGGGCCCCATTGTTGGTGTTAGTGGCAGGAACTATAGCCCACTGTTGCTGTCGGGGGGAATAATGCCCCAAGGGCCAGATAAAAAGGAAGCAAATGGCCGCAACTGGCCCCCAAGCCACAGTTTGGAGACCACTGGCCTAGGCGATCGAAGTGGGAGTGGGTACCTGGCATTTTTGGGTTACCTGCTCCCCCCTTGTTCCCCAAAGGTGCCACTCCTTAATGGGGAGCAGGGGACCAGTCTTTAAAGTGGTACTTCCCCTTTTGGATGGAGCTCCGCTTTAAAATATACGGCACTCACAGAGCAGCAAAGTACATTGAGGCACACATATCTGAGGTGACCCCTTCAAGAGCTCCAAACCATCAAGAAATACAGCATCAGTTATAGATAACTAAAAGTGTAGGAGTGACCTCATTGGAACACCCAGCAGTAACATAACCAAGTGATTAAAATAGGATGTGGGGGTCTTCCCCAAACTGGAGTGGGCTGCAGCTATGAAGGCAACGGATACAACATTTTTCTCAGAGAGTCTGGAAGAAGGGTAGGCATGAGGGAACATTTTCTCAGTTTAAAAAATGTTATAGGTTTTCTATTGTAAATAAAATATGGGTTTATGACATATGCAAACTATTGCATTCTGTTTTTATGTAGATTTTATACAGCTTTCCAACTTTTATGGAATTGGGGTTGTAAGTTCTATATTATTACTATTGTGTGGTTTCATGATTAGGTTGAAGCAAACTTAGACTTTTCAGAAAAAGTGAACAATTTATTTTGGTGTCTAAATGTATGCTTTGTTAATAATTCACATCCGTTTTTTATTCCAGGAAGACCACTGCAGTTTACTCTAATAGCGTGTGATGTCAAAGGCAAGGAAGATAAATCGGGACCAGAAAACTTACTGGTGGAACCTTGGACAGGAGATGGTGTGTGCAGCTTTTTACATTTGAATGTTACACATGCCTTTTTTTCTTTTATTCATTCTTGAAGGGTTTCTTTGTTAAAAATGAAAACCTAAAAAGTGATTTGTCTACTGATCATTTTTATAAGTGAGACTTTAGTAAACCAGTGCTTACACAGGCAGCAGAATCCCATTGTTATTTGATAATTGGAATTTCGAATCTTATCTTAAAATTTGATTTTTACCCTTTTAAGAATGGACATAGATTATGCAATTTTCTTCAGTGTTGATGGGGGAATCCTTCCTGCTGTGCTATTGGATTCTGACAGTGGGAGGTTTTCCCGACATCAGAATAAAATGAACACTGCAGGCAGCTGTAGCAGACTGGTTGTAGTGAACTGGCCAAATTGTTACCCTTCTATGGTCATCTTAAAGTCTCTATTTTCATTGTTGATCTAAGTACAGGTTAATATAATTTCCATTCATCTTTTGCTTCATTTTTTTCTTTGCTTTCATGTGTTAAAGCAGAGAAGCAATGGGATATATCATAGATGTTTCGTAAATGAACACTATTTACCTTTATATGATTAAAAGCAATGTTTATTTAGCATTCTTCAGATCCAGAGAAGGTTATCCATTTTTGTTGGAACCGGAAATATATTGCTTTAGCCAATTTTGACTGTGTTGTTCTTCTGAAACCTTTGGGTCTTAATTGAGTTCAGTACAACTAGGGTTATGTTTATTCATCCAAAAACTGTATCACTGTTTGGCATCCTATGCCATAATACCTTTTGATCTAGACATGTGAAAAATTAGGTTACTCTTATTTTCAATGTATATTGTGCATTTAAAGAAGATAGTTACCAGCATTCTGATTGTCTGTCCAAATACGTATTTTGTTACCTAAAGGCTTCCTGACAGAAACTGGAAAAACCAGGGCAAGCATAATCCTTTCTTCAGGCACTGAGTCAGCCTTCCAGGTTACACAGATGAGGATAAGGGTAAGTGTACTTTTGTCATAAGCTGTACAGAAACCAAAAAGCATAAACATAACTGAACTCAGTGTTAGTAGTTTAATGAAACTTGAACAGACAGAATCTGGAGCAGCTCTGCATAATTAACCAATCATCTTCTTACTTCGGCTTGTTTGGTTAAGTTTTGAAAATGAAAGTTAGAAGCTGGCTGGTTGCCATGCATAGCTGCTCCAGATTTTGTCTGCTCTGTCAGTAAATTCCTCCCATTCGAATGATTTTTTTTATTAAAGGTTTTGTTATTTTGACAAAAAAAAATTAGGTATATGTAAACCAAGGGTGCTGAACCCGTTGCCCACAACCTCATGTTCTGGAATGGCAGATTGGCAAGCCCAGATCACAATCAATGATTTGCTGACTTGCCATCCCAGAGCATCAGAGTCCATGGAGCCAGTGCCGGCAGCGGAGGAAGAAGGAGACGCATAAGTCCAATGCTTCCACTGTAGCGCCAGCTTCTGTACCAGGTGGAGTTGATAGCAAGCACACTTCACCTGGGACCTTTCTAGCAGCCATTAGAATGATGCTGATAGAGGAAAATGTCAGTGTATGAAACATCACATACACTGCACATTTGCAATAGGCATATTAGCACTCTTAAAAAATAATTATTAGACTACTTTCACACTGATCCACAGGTGTAGAGCAGTGCACCTGCAGTTTTCCTGTGGGTTAACTACACTGAGCCATAGACTTCCATGATATCCTGCGGGTTTGATGCGCTTTCTGAAAGAGCACCAAAAATCCTGAATGCAGGAGTATTGGTGCGTTTTCAGAAAGTGCACCACACTTGTAAGATATAATAGAAGTCTGTGGCAAAGCAGAGGAAACCTGCATGAAAGCTGCAGGTGCACTGCAATGCACCCATGGTGCAGGTAAACTGCAGCGCATCAGTGTGAATGCAGCCTTATAGGAAGCTGAGGACAGTAGGGGCTCATTTACATTTGTGGTTTGAGAGTGGTAAATCCCCATAGTTCAGGCGTGTTTTTACCACACCTCCAAACCACTGGTGTAGTACCAGGGGTCAGAATGGCGACCCTGCCCCATGCTCCAGGGGGCCCGTGTAGCCCCCCTATCAGATTCTGTTTTACACTTGGACAACAGAGGCGGTATATACAGGAACCAATCATCTCCATCTTCCTCCTGCAACTGCAGAAATCCAGATTCTCCTCCTTTCCCTCCTGCCAGCATTCAGCAGTTGCAGGAGGAAAATGTTTATGATGTTATTCAAAATAAAAAATTCAAAATTCTGACCCATTTAGTTGTCACCCAGGACCAGTTACCAAATCACTTAAGTGGCTCTCGCTCTTTAAAAGGTTGAGCGCCCCTGGTGTAAACAATAGCTGTTATATCCTTACCTCCCCCACCTTCAAAACAGCCTCAAAAGACTAATCACTATCATGTATAAAGTCATTCACATATACAGTACCTTCACAGAGCACAGAGAGTAATGTTAATTACATCTCGCCAATGTCTAGAGCTCAACAAAAAGCATTAGATTTATCCTTTTACTACTAGAGTGATAATACAATAACAGAATCCGTTTCCTGTTCTTGGTGATGTAGTGGTCAGCAGCTAAGCCAGCATGTCGCCATAGTTCAATAAAACAATAATAGTTCAATTCCGCTTGTGGTCTGTCCTTCCAGAAAATGTACCTGCCTGTCTAAATGGTGCCCTTACGATTGTCCCGTTTTCATTTGTGGTCATTTACAGTATTTTGCACAGTTCTATAGGACTCTATCATACAGTACCATAGCTTCTTACAGATATTAAAGGATGCTATGTAAAATACATTTACATGTGTTGCTCTCAAGCAAGGCAAACATTTACTTAAAGTGACATTAATGCTTTTTTTTTTGTTTTAATAGCAAGCTTTGTTACTTACCTGCTCTGTGCAGTGGTTCTGCACAGAGCAGCCCTGATCCTCTTCTTTTTGGGTCCCCCACCTGGCTCCTCCCCCTTGAGCAGTGCCCCCAGGGAAAGCTCTTGCCCTGGGGGCACCACTATGTGCTTTTCCCAAGCCACTGCTCTATGCTTCCATAAGACACATAGAGCCGTGGCTCGGCCCTGCCCCCACTCTTTCCTCATTGGAGAACTGGCTGTGATTGGCAGCAGTGGGAGCAAGTGGGCTCCTGTCCCCAGACAGCAGAGGCTGTCGAGAACCTTATTGCATTGGAGGGGGCACAGGTAAGGAGGATTGGGGGGTCACTGCACCCAGAAGGTTTTTTACCTTCATGCATAGAATGAAATGTTGCTTAAGAAACTGGATCCTGTGTTTGATGCTCACCTAGGCAAGTAATGCAACACGATGAGTTAGCCACAGGGTGTTATACAGGTCCAGGGCCATGTTTAAGGCCCACCATCCTGCTTCTTGATTGCTGGCCTTAATGGCCTGGCTATTGAAGCACAGGTCCTGAAGGACAGAGACCTATTGGATGTAGTCATTCCATTGCTCCTAAAAACTAGAATATTGTCTTCTTGCATCGACCATAACGGGTCAAATTTTGACCCTAGCCATTCTTTTCCAAACACTGTTTGTTTTTTTTCACTGCATTGATGAAAGCCTATGTGCTGGGTGTCGCTCACATTGTTCCCATTGTATGCGTCCCAGTTTCACTTTGGTACCTCGACTTGATTTTATTGATTCTTCAGAAACTGCCCTACCAGACCAATAAAGATACCCCCATCTGCTCTCATCCACAAGGTTGCCTTCCTTGTGTGTCTTGCATGTTATCTTGTCTAAAGCCTCCTTTCTTCCCAAGGTGTTTTCTTCTTTCCACCTTAACCAGGTCATTGATCTACCCACTCTATGTCCTGCCCTTGTTTTCATTGAATAAAAATATAGAAGGCTCTCTCTGAATGGCAGCGGTGCCGAACGCGTGCTATTGTTTACCTGGGCCTGTTGGCATTTGCTATGTTGCCCCTTCCCTCATTTGGACATCCCATTATCTAAGACTGAGATCCTTTGTCCAATAATATACAATTAAAAAACAGGGTTTTTGACTTACATGTAAAATCCTCATCTTGAAGTACATTAAAGGACACATGTCCCTCCCCACTGTTTCTTATTGCTTTCTACAAAACTGAGGCTTGCTGACAGTGGGATAGGTTATGTTAGGGCTGTCCTTGTAGCTTTGTTTGCCAGCGTCTAATCACCTGAAGGTAGCTGCATAACCCATGATCTAATACTAAGATCCTGAGTCCTATAATGAGCTCCAAGAAAACCATTATACAGGTAAAATCCTCTTTTTGCACATAATAAAAAAAAAAAATGTGACAATGTTAAGCAGGCAGTCTACCTAAAATTGACTTTATGGATTTACATATTGTTTGGCCATCCAGTAGAAATCCAGTAGCAAGGTCTGTGCACCTAAGTCTCAAACGCCAGCCACTTTCTCCTGCCATTACCAAGAAAGCGTGTCATACTTTCTGCTTGCTTTTACATTTATTTTACATTACTGAGAATTCCATGCAAAGAATGGTACAAATTTGTGGAACCTTGTTATAGCAGTGGCAGGTGGTATAGTGTGAGGCTGGATTCACACTCTTCTGTTTGTGTTGCAGTATGGGGGATAATGAACACGCACACTGGGGTAAATGGGCCCATATAGTTTTCCTCTACTTCTCACTCTAAACTGCAGTGCATGTGAACCAGCCATAAATAACGGGGTTTCTTTTTGTAACACTTTTTTTTATGCAGAAAACTACTCAAGTATTACTCAATGAAAAGAAAACAAGTATGAATGGACCTTGCGCTGCTAAGGTGGAAGTTTGTGCTGCTAAGGTTCCAGAAATACACAAATTGGTACTGAATGTTTCAGCACGTCATTGCCTATGGCAGGCTTTAACATTGCTGCTGATAAATTTAGTTTATTATAAAGACACATGTTTCTCTTCAAGTGCTTGTTAATGCATATTTTTTATGCACGGTCTGAATTTAAAGATAAAATTTACCTTGTGTTTTATATTTTATTTTTAAGGTCCGAAGAGGTGCCATTGGTAGTAAATGTGGTTTGGTGTTTGCTTACAATTGCTCAGAAAAGTTCCATGCTGAAGAGCATTTTAAAAGATTTGAACATTTTGACACATGGAAAGTACCTGAATTCAAACAATTTGTGAAAGACCGGTAAGGACTTGATAATTTTTTAAACTAAATCTTATAACCATAAAGTATAATCCAAAATGACCTTGTCAGCACAGGGCACCTTGTATCCAGTAATATGCTGCTAAAATAAGAGGGAAGTTGCTTACATTTCAGAGGTCAGTGTCTTGAAATGTCAGAGCTTTTCTGCACCCCAGCCAAGAATTTCACACTTCTGGTGCAATTTATTTCATGAAGCGCACGCTTTGCCTGTGAAGGTGTCTAATCCCTTACTTTGCTGACATTTAAAGCTTTCTTGCATAAAAATCAGAATACGTTAATACATTGGGAGCACAGTTCATTAAAATATTTTTCATAAAATATTAACAAAACTGTTGTTTTTTTTTTGCTCTTTTATGTGTTCTAGTGATATGTATCAATAGAACACTTTCCCTATGTAGCAATGAATACATAGGAACCATCCATATAGTTTCTCTTTTCATTTCTCGCTCTTTTTAGATATAAGTGTGTGGAAATCTTTTTGTGGCCAAGTTGCCTAATATTTGCTATGCATTTGTAACCAGATATTGCACATCCTTTTTTTTGTAGTTTTATCTATATTGTATTTATACACAAAGTACAAAAATATGCATGAAATAGAATACTAAAAGGCCATATTTTTGCTTATAAAACCATGAAAGGTTTTTTTTTTTTTATATCACAAGGTATGTGAAAAAAATTTACAGTAAATTGCACAAATATTGAAAACTGACACAAGGCTATTACACACACTTTTGCAAATAGGTTTGTCCTCAAATATAACACATGCCAACTGCAGCTTTCTCAAGTAATGGAAAAAACTAACTATGGCCTACTGTAGAACACCCCCTAATGCTACAATCCCCTGATTTAGAACACTCAATCCAACTCCTAGGAGAAGACTTTGGTATTACCCTGTCAAACACTTAAAAATATTGATTTTTAAATAGAATTCTCAATATCCACAGAAGATATAAATGCACTTTGTGTGCACCAAACCTTTGCAAACCTGTACAGGACACAGGTATGTTGGAAAATTCGCGGCCGACTTTGCCAATCGTATGATTTTCCTGGCAATGATGGGCAAATCGGCCGATCGTTTTACCGATACAAAATCCGCGTATGGGGTGCTGTGACCTGCAAGGGACAGAAGTTATGGGGTGAACTTTATGATTTTGTCGGGCGATTTTTTTTTTTTTTTTTTTTTTTTTTTTTTATCGTTCATGGTAACATCGGCTGAACGAACGACTGATTTTTAATTTTTTTTCCCCCGAAAAATCGGCCGATGTTCGACCCGTCTATGGCGTGCATTAGCTTAACTACTTTATTTTTTTTTTATATTGTCTTTGAATTCTTCTTTCATCTTCTTCATTGCCTTCTAATACCAAAAAAAGGAGCAGTGCATCTGGATCAGAGCAACCTCTGTAAAACCTTGGGAGCCGTACCCAAATCCAACACTGGGAAATGTTTGTAAAAGGTTCTTCAGGTGCTGGATCCTGCAAGGGCGCTTACCTTGGCACTTAGTGCGACACATTGTAGTCAGTCTCAGGGTGCTATACAGGTCCAGGTCTGTGCACCCTCACCCTTGGCTATGGCAGAACAAGGCCAAAGAGAGTCCCATTGCTAAACGTCAGGTGAACATTTGCTTTGGTGAAGGCCTGCACAACACTCAACCTCAATGACTATTTCCGGAATGGCTCTAATCTCCATTCGCATGGCAGAATGTTGTGACTAAAAGCCTGGCTAGCTAAGCTGTCTGCAAAAAGGGCCTCATATTATGCCTTTTCAAAGCAGTCATCTTTTTAGGAGAGGCACTTGACCAACTTATCAAAGATGTCACAAGAGGGATGGTTTTACCTCTACAACAAAAGATTCCAACGACCAAACCCCCCTACCACCTCAAAACGCAAAGCACCTAATTGCTCTGCACAGCGGTGAACTTCAGAGCCTTTTTGGGCACAAGACTTGGACCACAAAGCCCTCTTTCTAATGAAGGGGTGCCTTTACTCATAAGAGTGGATGGGGGGGCATCTATTACAGTTGATATCTCTCTGGGTCACATCCCAGACCTGTGGGTGGTTTCAAAGGGGTACAAAATAGAGTGCAAAACTTGACCCCCTCACCCCCTTTTTGTTTTCTCAACCAAAAACTGCCCAAGGACAGTCAGATTTGCAGAAAGCCCTGAACCATCTCTTGTCTCAGGGAGTAGTTGTGCCCATAACCCCACATGACAGGTTTTAAGGATTCTATCCAAACCTGTTCATGGTGCCAGAGCCCTATGGAGATGTTCGTCCTATTCTGGTCTTAAAATCCCTCAGCAAATACCTTCAAATTTCAAAATTGGAATTGGCAAAGTCAGTAACTGCCTCCAGGAGACTGGAGGAATACCTGGCATCCATAGACATCCAATATGCCTATCTACATATTGCCATTCATCAACCTCATCAGTGTTTATTGCACTTTGCAGTAGCAAACAGCCATTTCCAGTTTATATCACTACACTTTGGCCTATCATCCGCTCCCGGTGTATTCACGAAGGTCTTACTGTCTCCTTTCCTCTTCTCAGAACTCCAGGTGACAGGTTATCTAGATGACCGTCTCCTTAAGTACTCCTCTCTCTTAGAGCCCTTTTACATGGGCGATCCGATCAGGATCAGTTTATTTGGCAGACCTGAACGGATGGTCCATGCATTCCTATGGACTGACTGGTATAAACTGACTTTTCTCCATTTACACCTGCCTACCTATCAGGCACACCAAAAAAAAAAGGAGGATGACTGAGTCTTCTTCTGTTTGGATGGAGCGGAGCAGAGGCAGCCAGGTGTACATGGACAGCGGAGCCAGTTTACTTCCAGCCGCCCATAGAGCAGTGTGGACTATGTGCTTTTGCTCTGTCGGTAACAACCCATGCATACACAGAAACCAAAACAAATAAGTTCAGAAATTAAATTATGTGTAATAAAATTGAATGATGCAGGGAAAAAGTATTAAACACACTAACTGAAATTTATTTATTACTTCGTACAAAATGCTTTTTAGTAATGACAGCTTCAAGATGTCTCCGGTATGGAGAAACTAGTAGCATGCATTGCACAGGTGTGAAATTGGCCCATTTTCCCACACAGTCTTCAAATCTTGAAGGTTCCATGGGCCTCTTCTATGAACTCTGATCTTTAGTTCTTTCCGTATATTTTCTGTTGGATTCAAGTCAGGTGATTGGCTGGGCCATTCTAGCAGCTTTACTTTCTTTCTTTGAAACCAATTGAGAATTTCCTTGGCTTTTGTTTGAGATCATTGTCTTGCTGATATGTCCACCCTTGTTTCATCTTCATCATCCTGGTGGATGGCAGATTTTTATCCAGCATGTCTTAGTACATTTTTTCCATTCATCCTTCGTTCAATGACATTAAGTTTGCCAGTGCCGTGTGCTGAAACACAGCCCCGCACTGTGGTGTTCCCACCTCCAAACTTCACTGTTGGTGTTTTTGGGGTGATGTGCAGTGTCATTTGACCTAAAAACATAGTGTGTATTATGGCATCCAAAGAGTTAAATTTTGGTTTCATTTGACCAGAATATATTCTCACAGTATTTCACATGCTTGCCTAAATGTGCAGCAAACTTTAAACAAGCTTCAACATGCTTTTTCTTCAGCAATGGAGTCTTGCGTGGTGAGCGTGCATACAGGCCACGGCGGTTGAGTGCATTACTTATTGTTTTCTTTGAAACAATTGTACCTGCTAATTCTAAGTATTTCTGAAGCTCTCCACAAGTGGTTCTTGGCTCTTGGACAACTCTTCTAATAATTCTTTTCACTCTTCTGTCAGAAATCTTGCGAGGAGAGCCTGGTACTTTTGCTTCCAGATCCACTATTTCTGAGTTGTTTTGATAATATATTGTGCAGGCCTATGAGTTGTGAGAGACGTGAGATACAGTGTCTTCTTTTCCTGTTAAAACCCACTCCACTAGGGCAGTGATTGTTTCTTGGTCTTTTCATCATCAGGCCTATGCATCAGTTTGGACTGCTTTTGGATATCCTAGATTCTTATCAAGCTGTGCCCCTCAATGGAAAATAGAGAAAAGGATGTTTGTAGTCAACGTGAAATCCTTTTCCTGGAGTTCATTGAGGGACATGGACTCCTCTCCTCATATGCTGTCGTTCTCTTTGGTCTCTTGAGGAGGTGGGAGGTGCTATAGCCCCAAGGGCCACCAGTTTTCTATGCTTAGTGTCCAGTTCCTCTGCAGGTAGCAGTATATACCTAGATTTCTTATTATCAAGCTGTGTCCCTCAGTGGACTCCTGAGTAAAGATATTTATGGTGTGTACAAACATCTCATTTCTTTTGTTCGCAGAGCTAACCAGTTTGGCACAGAAATAGGTGAGAGTGATCCTGTAGCCTGGTTTGAGCTGGAAGAGGAATGGGACGAAGTAGATATCAGGATGCAGCAATGCAAAACTGCCAAGGTATGTGCAACCTAATGCATCTGGCTAAATATTTTTAAAGGAGAATCCCTGTTTTAAGAGTATGTGAACCGTGCCCAAAAAAGCATGTGGAATGAAAGAAGAACTAGTCATAGACTGTACTAACTGTACGTTCTTTGCAGCTATTTTTACCCATTATGGAGTTACCCTTACCTGTAATTCTCCAGTTACAGATTCCTCTTAAGGCAGCAAACCGTGCTGTAGTGACACCACAAATCTCACTCAAAATATCATAAAGCCAGAAGGCACAGACATACAATATTAGTAGATGTTCTCTAGAGCCAAGCAAATCAGGTTTTACTGAGACCAAAATCTGTGAATCTGCAGATCTTACTGATGAAATGTGACCATATACAATGCTATTCCAAGTATCCAAGTTAATACTTAATAAAAAATATATTAACTGTTTGCCTGTTTTAAAAGAGCAGGCTGTGGTAATGAAACAGGGAAATGCCCATTGCCATCCCCGTTTTTATTATGGTGGTTAAGTGCTTATGCGCAATTTCTGTTTTATGGAGCCTTTGTAACTTAACATTGCTTGCAATAACCCTTTTAGAAGGTAGCATAGCCTATCAGTAACTTTGCCTTGTTTTTATACTGGTGTGATAAAGTGAAGTATGAAATATAGGATGAAATATGATTATGATGAGGCTAGCCTAAATGATATCCATATTAATGAGGATATTTTTATCAAATGTGAGAAAGGCAGGGTCATTTTACCAGTGCGATCTATGACCTAGTAAAAGTTCACACAGAAAAAGCTGCAGCATGAAAGCAGTCCAATAGGTCGAGCTTTGGGCCCCTTTGCGCATTTTCAGTTTCTCCTTACCACATGTTTAAGAAAGTATGTTGTCTATGGAGCTCAATAGCTCAAGCTAAAATTTACAGCTCAAACTGAGATTTCAGTGAGAAATGCTCTCTCTTTATCTTACTTACGATAGGGCATTTGTAACGTATTATATATTTTTTGTAAAGCAAACATTGTGTGTATTAACTTAAAAAAAAAGATTGACCCAAATCATAGTAATATTTTGGTAGAATTTACAGTTCTTATGATCACTAGATTAGTTTGCATATCATAGATACAGTTGTGCTCAAAAGTTTGCATACCCTGGCAGAAATTGTGAAATTTTGGCATTCCTATTGAAAATATGACTGTTTATGCCAAAAAAATGCTCTTTTATTGAAGGATGATGGTCATATGAAGCCATTTATTATCAAATAGTTGTTTGGCTCCTTTTTAAATCATACTGATAACAAAAATCACCCAAATGGCCATGATCAAACTTTTACATACTCTGGAATGTTTGGCCTTGGTACAGACACACAAGGTGACACGCACGAGTTAAAATGCCAATTAGAGGTTAATGTCCCACACCTGTGGCTTTTTAAATTGCAATTAGTGTCAGTGTGTAATTAGTCAATGAGTTTGTTAGCTCTTACGTGGAAGCACTGGCTAGGCTAGATACTGAGCCATGGGGATCACAAAAGAACTGTCAAAAGTCCTGCATAACAAGTTAATGGAACGTTATAAAGATGGAAAAGCACATAAAAAGATGTCCAAAGCCTTGAATATGCCAGTCATCACTTCCACTAAGAAGTAGAAAATTCAGGGACCTCTTGATACCAAGCCAAGTACAGGTAGACCAAGAAAGATTGCAGCCATAACTGACAGAAGAATTGTCTGGGATACAAAGGGAAACCCATAGGTAACCACAAGAAAAATACAAGCTGCTCTGGAAAAAGACAGTGTGGTTGTTTTGAAGGAGCACAATATGATGACACTTGAACAAAAATGAGCTGCATGGTCGAGGTGCCAGAAAGAAGCCTTTACAAAAAGTCCTGGTTAGGCATGTCAAGGTGTTGTCAGGCATATTGTAACCAGGCTTTTTTGTGGTATTGGTACAGTAAAAGCTTCTTTCTGGCACCTCGACCAAACAGCTCATTTTTGTTCAAGTATCACCGTATTGTACTCCTTAAAACAACCACACCATCTTTTTCCAGAGCAGCCTGTATTTCTTTTGAGGTTGCCTGTGGGTTTTTCTTTGAATCCTGGACAATTCTTCTGTCAGTTATGGCTGCAATCTTTCTTGGTCTACCTGACCTTGGCTTGGTATCAAGAGATCCCCGAAAGTTCCACTTCTTAATAGATGATTTAACTGTACTGATTGGCATATTCAAGTCTTTGGACATCTTTTTATGTGCTTTTCCATCTTTATAAAGTTCCATTACCTTGTTACGCAGGATTTTTGACAGTTCTTTTCTGATCCCCATGGCTCAGTAGTTAGCCTAATCAGTGCTTTCACGTAAGAGTTAACAAACTCATTGACTACTTATACACCGACACTAATTGCAATTTAAAAAGCCACAGATGTGGGACTTTAACCTCTAATTGGCATTTTAACCCGTGTCACCTTGTGTGTCTGTACCAAGGCCAAACATTCCAGGGTATGTAAACTTTTGATGATGGCCATTTGTGTGATTTCTGTTATCATTATGATTTAAAAAGGAGCCAAACAACTATTTGATAATAAATGGCTTCATATGATCATCATCCTTCAATAGAAGAGCATTTTTTGGCATGATCAGTCATATTTTCAATATCAATGCCAAAAATTCACAATTTCTCCCGGGGTATGTAAACGTTTGAGCACAGCTGTATTTCATTAATAATGCTGAACCCTGTTGACTTCGTAATAAATTGTTGGACTGCAGAACATGTTTGAAATATGGAGGATAAAGTCTGTAAACATTTCATCGTATCAATTTTTGATAACGGTTTCATTGATTCACTGTACTAATCTGTGTCAAATTTTCCTTGCTAGTACTGGATGGTGAAGTTCCTCTGCACACGGGAGGAAACTGCAGAGCGCTTAGGTGTGCAAGGTATCAGTGCTTTTGGTTACCGCAGACCATTGGAGGCTAAGATTGACATGAATGTGACATGTCTGAAGTGTAAAGAGTTGGCATCTGATAGTGTGTGTGGAATGACCCTCATTCTAAAAACTCTGCTATTTGTTCAACTGCTGGCACATGATATGGTAAGTCTCCATAATCCCAGGTACAAAAAGACATGCCTTACTTGTAGAACATTATAAACCATTATATCTGGTATGTTGCTGCAGTTCCTAGATGAAGATTAAAGTGTATATTACCCCAACATTTCACATTCCTGATAGGTCTGTTGTATCATGTGCTTGTTTTAAAATGTATCCTCTTCTTTGTATTTCTTCCTTTGTGTGAAATACCTGGTGATCCTGCCAGTCCCCCTATTTTCTAGGTATATAAACAGATCCATCTCAGTGTGATCAGTTTTATTTGGCTGGAAGCACAGCTTTCCTGTCCTCCAATGGCCAAGACTTGTGCAGACAAGCCCTCCCCCCAGAAGATCAATGTATTTCTCCTTCTGTACCTTCTGTTGACATATCCCCTTGCATTTTTACTACCCCGACCTCTTTATGCCCCTTATGCAGCTGTGAGCAGAGGTCACTTAAAAAAAAAAAAAAAATAGGTATTTATAAGTATATACATTTTTACTGTACTTTTTTGGGCACAGCTGATTAGCTGATGTCAGCCACAATCATTGGCTGAAATCAGGTGCCAAACTAGTGCTATGTCCAATCAAAGCACAGGTCGGCAGGGGGCGCGCATGCAAATGCCTGCAGACCTGGAAGAAAGCAATCTCCTATATACAGTGCTCAGCATAAATGAATACACCCTTTTTGTAAAGTAAGATTTTAATCAATATCTCAATGAAAACAAGAACAATTTCCAAAATTTTGACAAAACTGAGTTTTTATAGAACATTTGTTTAGCTCATTACATGAAAGTAAGGTTAATAATATAACTTAGATTAGAAAATATTCAATTTTACTCAAATAGTTGATGCAGAAATGAATACACCACACAGAAAAAACTACCATATCTAGTATTTTGTATGACCTCCGTGATTTGTAATATTGCAACATCAGCCTTTTTCCAGTCTTCAAGAATTACCTCTTTTAGAGCCTGGATGCTGCATAAAGAGTGATGCTCAACCTGTCTCTTCAGAATTCCATATATAGGTGTTGTTCAGATCAGGAGATATATTTGGCCACTGAATCACTTTCACCCTGTTCTCTAGAAATGCAGCAGTGGCCTCAGATGTGTGTTTTGGACCATTGTCATGTTGGAAAAAGTGCATGACAACCAAGAGCACGGAGTGATGGTAACATCTTCTCTTTCTGTATTGAGCAGTACATCTGTGAATTCATGATACCATCAGTGAAATTCAGCTCCCTGACACCAGCAGCACTCATGTAGCCCTAGGAAGGACACTGCCACCACCACCATGTTTAGGCACCATATATTTTTCTTTGTACTCCTCACCTGTGATACAGTTTGTGATACAGTTTTAAAGCCGTCAGTTCCAAAAACATTTATCTTGGTCTCATCACTCCACAGTACAGAGTCCCAGTAGTTTTCTTCTCTTTCAGCATGGACCCTGGCAAATTCTAGGCAGGCTTTCTTGTACATGGACTTTAGGGAGAGGCTTCCTTCGTGGACGATACCCATGCATGCCATTCCGCAGCAGTTTACGCCATATTGTGTCACAGGAAACCGTCATCCCAGTTTGGCTTTTCTACTTCTTCTTCCATGTGGTGCCATTGCTGACAGCATGAAATGGGAAGGGGTTTTCTTTGTTGACAACGCCCTTTTATGATCAGCTGTCTTCTGGACACCTGTTTAATGAATAATTAGAGTCACCTGTAGTTGAATTCTTGTTAATTAGGATTTTGTTGCCTAATGCAGGCCATAGATGGTCGAAAATCGGCCGATTTGTCGGCCGAAAATAGTCGGCCGATTTTCGGATCGTTAGTGGGCGATTTGGTCGGCCGTTTTTGTTTTTTTTTCGGTAAAGTTGGAAAAAAAATCGGCCGATTTTGCCGATCGGCCGATTTTCGCGGCAATTAGTGGGCAAATCGGCCGATTTTTTACCGATAAAAAATCTGCGCATGAGCAGTGACCTGCAAGAGGAAGACAAAAAGAAGAAAAAGAAGAAAAAAGAAGAGGAAGAGGATGAAGAAGAGGATGAAGAAGAAGAAGAGGAAGAAGATGAAGAAGAAGAAGAGGATGAGGATGAAGATGAGGATGAAGAAGAAGAAGATGAGGATGAGGAAGAAGAGGATGAGGATGATGATGAAGAAGAGGATGAGGAAGAAGAAGAGGATGAGGAAGAAGAAGAGGATGAGGATGAAGAAGAAGATGAAGAAGAAGAGATGAGGATGAAGAAGATGATGGATGAAGAAGAAGAAGAAGAAGAAGAAGAGAAGGATGAAGAAGAAGAAGAAGAAGAGGAGGAGGAGGATGAAGAAGAAGAAGAGGATGAAGATGATGAAGAAGAAGAAGAAGAAGAGGAGAGGATGAAGAAGAAGAGGAGGATGAAGAAGAAGAAGAAGAAGAGGATGAAGAAGAAGAAGAAGAGGATGAAGAAGAAGAAGAAGAAGAAGAAGAAGGAGGATGAAGAAGAAGAAGAAGAAGAGGATGAAGAAGAAGAAGAAGAAGAGGATGAAGAAGAAGAAGAAGAAGAAGAGGATGAAGAAGAAGAAGAAGAGAGGGATGAAGAAGAAGAAGAAGAGGATGAGGATGAAGAAGAGGATGAGGATGAAGAAGAAGAAGAAGTAGGATGAAAATAAGAAGAATTCCAGTCCAGCAAAAAGTATCTCTGCAGAGAGCTCCGCTATTTCTGACAGTTCTCTGACAGTTCTTTGACATTTACAGCGGTTGAAACATTGTATCTATTTGTTTCCGAATAAAAACATCTGTATCCTAAATGGAAACAAATAGATACAATGTTTCAACCGCTGTACATGTGAAGGAACTGTCAGAGAACTGTCAGAAATAGCGGAGCTCTCTGCAGGGACACTTTTTGCCAGCTGTAGAAGGGATGAAAATCGGCCGATTTTTTTTTTACCATTGATGGTAACGTCGGCCGCTTGAACGACCGAATTTTCGTTTTTTAAAAAAAAAAAATCTGCCGTTTTTTCTCCCCATCTATGGCCTGCATAACATTAAGCTTTGCTCCAAAGACTTTCATTGGGGTGTATTTATTTTTGCAATATGATCTTGAATTAATTTGTTAGGAAAATAATTTTTTGTGTGTGCAAAGTAACAAATCTTGTTTGCAATCAATGGCCCGCATTTGTGGGAGTATTTTGTAGTATAGTGTCAGCATAGAAAATGTTCTGAAGGGAAAGGAAAGGTTTTCTGACAAATCTGTTAGGGTGTACTCATTTAAGCTCAGCACTGTATATGTGACTGTCTGTCTGCACCTGATTCCCCGCTGCAGTATATGTACTGTACTGTGATGTAGGTGTCAAGTTGTTAAGCTTTATTGTCAGTTATCTATAGCACATATTCATGATTGTATTGTTGATATTTTGGTAGGCATAATAAATGGCATAGCAAGCTGCTTTTGGCAGACAGAAGCAAGAAATACAGTGAAATAGAGGAGGACCTTTCTGTTTACATGTAGTCTGTATGTTTCCATGACAGGGTTTAATGAAAAAATGTAATCCACACTTACAAGTGGGGAGTTCATTTACAAAAAAAATCAGCGTCACTATTCCCAATCAAAATTTGGCTTCTTTGTCACCATAGGTTTGAAATTGGTCTGAATTGTGACTACGGGGGGGGGGGGGGGGGGGGGTGAAGGATGGGGTAATGATGTCAGGTTTTTAATGCCTTCTGTGCCTGTAACCATTAACCACTTGGGTTTTTGCTGAAAATTTTGTATTTAAATTTCTTTCCTCATTTTTCCTATACCCTTTGCCAAAAACCTTGGGGGTTTTAATTTTTTTTAAATAGTCATTTTGGGGTAGTTTCTGGTGTCCTGCCACACCTGAGTCACTGTATTTGCAGAGAGTTTCCTTGGCTTTACTGAAATGTCCACCATCGTTTCATCTTCATCATCCCGGTGGATGACAGCAGATTTTTATCAAGAATGTCTTGGTACATTTTTCCATTCATCCTTCCTTCAATGATCTGAAGTTTGCCAGTACTATATGCTGAGAAACATCCACACACCATGATGTTCTCACCTCCAAACTCCACTGTTGGTACGGTGTTTTTGGGGTGATGTGCAGTGCCATTTGACCTCCAAACATGCTGTGAATTTTGACATCCAAAGAGTTCTCTTCTTACCAAACTACAGGTGAAACTCGAAAAATTTGAATATCGTGCAAAAGTTCATTTATTTCAGTAATGCAACTTAAAAGGTGAAACTAATATATGAGATAGACTCATTACATGCAAAGCAAGATAGTTAAAGTCGTGATTTTTCATAATTGTGATGATTATGGCTTACAACTCATGAAAACCCCAAATCCTCAATCTCAGAAAATTTGAATATTGTGAAAAGATGCAATATTCTAGGCTCAAAGTGTCCCACTCTAATCAGCTAATTAAGCCATAACACCTGCAAAGGGTTCCTGAGCCTTTAAATGGTCTCTCAGTCTGGTTCAGTAGTAATCACAATCATGGGAAAGACGCTGACCTGACAGTTGTGCAGAAAACCATCATTGACACCCTCCTTAAGGAGGGAAAGCTTCAAAAGGTAATTGCAAAAGAAGTTGGATGTTCCTAAAGTGCTGTATCAAAGCACATTAATAGAAAGTTATGTGGAAGGGAAAAGTGTGAAAGAAAAGGTGCACAAGCAGCAGGGATGACCACAGCCTGGAGAGGATTGTCAGGAAAAGACCATTCAAAAGTGTTGGGGACTTTCACAAGGAGTGGACTGAGGCTGGAGTCAGTGCATCAAGAGCCACCACACACAGACGAATCCTGGACATGGGCTTCAAATGTCGTATTCCTCTTGTCAAGCCGCTCCTGAACAACAAACAACGTCAGAAGCGTCTTACCTGGGCTAAAGAAAAAACAGACCTGGTCTGTTGCTCAGTGGTCCAAAGTCCTCTTTTCTGATGAGAGCAACGTTTGCATCTCATTTGGAAACCAAGGACCCTGAGTATGGAGGAAGAATGGAGAGGCACACACTGCAAGATGCTTGAAGTGCAGTGTGAAGTTTCCACAGTCTGTGTTGATTTGGGGAGCCATGTCATCTGCTGGTGTTGGTCCACTGTGCTTCATTAAGTCCAGGGTCAACGCAGCCATCTACCAGGAGATTTTGGAGCACTTCATGCTTCCTTCCGCAGACGAGCTTTATGGGGATGCTGACTTCATTTTCCAGCAGGACTTGGCACATGCCCACACTGCAAAAAGCACCAAAACTTGGTTCAATGACCGTGGGATTGCTGTGCTTGATTGGCCAGCAAACTCGCCTGACCTGAACCCCATAGAGAATCTATGGGGCATTGCCAAGAGAAAGATGAGACATGAGACCGAACAATGCAGAAGAGCTGAAGGCCGCTATTGAAGCATCCTGGTCTTCCATAACACCTCAGCAGTGCCACAGGCTGATAGCTTCCATGCCACGCCGCATTGAGGCAGTAATGGCTGCAAAAGGGGCCCAAACCAAGTACTGAGTACATATGCATGCTTATACTTTTCAGAGGTCCGATATTGTTCTATGTACAATCCTTGTTTTATTGATTGCATGTAATATTCTAATTTTCTGAGATTGTGGATTTGGGGTTTTCATGAGCTGTAAGCCATTATCATCACAATTATGACAACTCTAGGCTTGAACTATCTTGCTTTGCATGTTATGAGTCTATCTCATATATTACTTTCACCTTTTAAGTTGCATTACTGAAATAAATGAACTTTTGCACGATATTCTAATTTTTCGAGTTTCACCTGTATATTGTCCCAGTAATTCACAGGCTTTTTTAAATGTTGTGCAGCAAACTTGAAATGAACTTCAACATGTTTTTTCTTCAGCAATGGAGTCTTGCGTGGTGAATGTGCATACAGGCCATGGCAGTTGATTGCATTACTTATTGTTTTCTTTGAAACAATTGTACCTGCTAATTCCAAGTCTTTTTGAAGCTCTCCACAAGTGGTCATTGGCTCTTGGACAAATCTGATAATTCTTTTTACTCTGTCAGAAATCTTGCGAGAAGCACCTGATCGTGGCTAGTTTATGGTGAAATAATGTTTTTTCCACTTCGATATATGGCCCCAACAGTGTTCACTGGAACATTCAGAAGTTTAGAAATCCTTCTGTAACCAATGACATCAGTATGTTTTGCAACAATAATGTTGCAAAGGTTTTGAGAGAGCTCTTTGCCTTTACCCTTCATGAAATATTTTTTTGTGTGACACTTGGTAATGAGACACCTTTTTTTTAAGCCATCAGTTGAGACTGGACCAACTGATATTAATGTGCACTGACAAGGGGTAGGATTGCTTTCTAATTACTGATAGGTTTCTGCTGGTGTCTATGCCTTTTTGCACCTCCCTTTCTTCATGTGTTCAATATTTCTTCCCTGTGTCATTCCATATTATTACACATAACTTAATTTCTGAACTGTGGTGAAAATTTCATGTCAGTAGGACCTTTAGAAATATACTTATCTGGTGTACTTAATGGTGACGTGTTCAATACTTATTGTACCCGCTGTATATACTGTATATATTACAAATCGAAAAGCAGTACAAAAAGAAAATTCCTCAGCACACTTACCAGCTAGCCTGCAAAAAAAAAAAAAAAAAAGCCAAATTGGCACTGTCTAACAATGTATGTTAAAAAAACAGAGGTTTTAATTGCACACATTTGCATATGTATATGTTGAAGCCAGAGTTCCTCTCCCCACAACCCGCTGTCATATTTTGAAAACAGTGCAACTGTGTGGGGCTATGCCCACAGAGCCACATCATTTATTCAGAGGAATCTGTGAATGAAAGAACTAAAAGTCCTGTCCGCCACTGCAGCAGACAGATTTGTAAATTGAATGAACTACAGGTGTATTGATCAGCGTGCCCCATAGTTCATTCACGCTGCCTATGGCTATACAGAGGTACAGGCAACAGAGCTGTAGGCAGTGTGTGCAGAAGCCTGACATTTCACCACCAATCTGCTGACTGCAGGTGCAGTAATTTGCAGGCTCCTGGTTAAAAAAAATAAATAAACAAATGCACATTTTTTTTTTTACCTGCAAAAAGATGTGTATTTATTATTTTTTAATAAAAGGATAAAAGGAGACCTTAGCCTTTACATTTGAGAATCACAAAGTTAAAGCATATACTGTATAGCAGTGGATAAATTAAGGGCAGGTAAGCCTGGACGGAGGGACACATTAGAAGCCCAGCAAGAGCACAATGGGAGTTGGAAAGCGTATAATGTGTCCCCACGCCAAATCCAATGAATAAGTTGTACAAGAATGGCAAACACCCCTGCACTGTACAAACAAGCATAACATTTCCCAGCACACTTACCAGCAAGCCTACAAAAAAAAAAAAATTCACACTCAACAATTTATTTAAAAAAAACAGGTTTTAGTTACACACATTTGCTGAAAAATTATATGTTTGTTTGCAATGTGCAATGCCCTTTCGTGTGCACCTTCAAAAGCTTGTTATAAATTGAGGTGGTTGTCATTTTTGTATAAATAGAAGTGCACGCAGGTTGATTTTTGCACCCTTTTAACTTTACACTCTTACACGACGGGCAGTAAGTAGGCCTCCTCTGATTGGCTGAGGTGGAATTTGTGAGGTCATCCGCCTGCCTCTCCACCACAGTTTACCAGTTCATGCAAAAAAATGCAAAACGTTTTGGGAATGGCTGAGAAGTGCTCAGCCCAAATTGATTTTTTTTTTTTGAGAACAGGACAGGAAGTTCCTGTACTGCTGCTGGTATGTAACATTCACTACATACAAATATACAGCACTAACAGCAGGTGCATGTATTAGTGAAGGAAATATTTTGTTAGCACCAGCTTGGTCCAAACAAACTATTTAACCCTGGAATTAGACTCTAGTGTAGCCACCATTAATGTGAATCTGTTCCTTTTGCCATCCACAGGCAAATCACAGGTTTCTTTTAAAGAGAAACAGCAATGTTTGTGAGAAAAAAAGATGCTCTCCAATTAAGTTATTTAGATGACAAGGATTTTTTGAGATATGGAACAGTAATTTGTAATGTATATTTAAAATGGCTTGTGTAGCTGTGCAACTATACAATATTCTTTTTTTGTGCAGGAAAAAGAAAATCAATCAAGGCATCGATCTCTTCTCGATTTATCGTGCCTAAATTTGGAGCTGCTCTGGAAGTGTTACAAAAAGCTACAAGATATGTAAGTTTTTGAACTTCGCAAAATAATTTTGTATATGATTCCCGTAGTTTGTGTGTCTTTTGTTTACTCTGTAAAGTGTACTTTCTCTAAATGTTCTTTGACAAGGACAGGAAAACTCTGAGCTATATGCTTAGGGCTATAGGAGGCTAGACAAGAACAGTGTTAGTCTTACTATGTATGGGGGAACCCCTACCTTTTACTTGCAGTCATGTGACTGCTCCAGTCTTCTTCCTGACTTTCTTCTCTGTAAGTGGGCGGGGCAGCAGGGGTACTCAGTGTCATGAGAGCATATTCCTGCACTGGTATTTTGTGGAAAATAAGCCTTTTTTTGTCATGCAAAGGTCAGCACAGTGGCTAAATGGTTAGCACTTCCGCCTGGCAGTACTAGGGTCGTTGGTTCGAATCCCAGCCACGGCACCACCTGCCTGGAGTTTGCATGTTCTCCCTGTGCCTGCGTGGGTTTCCTCCGGGTACTCCGGTTTCCTCTCACACTTCAAAAGACATGCTGGTAGGTTGATTGGATCTGGTCTAAATTGGCCCTAGTATGCGTATGTATGAATGTGAGTTAAGGACCTTAGATTGTATGCCCCTTGAGGGTTAGGGACTGATGTGAATGTACAATATATATATGTGTAAAGCGCTGCGTAAATTGACGGCGCTATATAAGTACCTGAAATAATAATAATAATTAGGTGAGGTCTTGGGAATGCCCTTTATGCAGAAAATTGTCACCCCTGTAATCGGTAAACCTACAGTCATGAATAGAAAATAGAGGATTGCACTCAGGATGCAATGTGCCATAACTGATACGTACTTAATTGAAATTGAAGTACCATTTTAAAGTCTCCCTGATCTTCTGGGGTCCGGAGCGCAACCTGCGGCCCTTTTGGCATATTCTGTGTGGCCCTCGGGGTCTCTTTGAACATTAGTCTGTTTCCTTTTAGCCCTATTATAACAGTGTGTTTAAATTGTACTATCATAAACAAGTTGCGCTGCAAATAAATAAGTTATATAATAAAAAAATAATAAATACTCGAATCAATGTGATGTATCCTAATCTGACATATAATAAAAAGTCCAAATCATTAAAGTTTTCCCATGAAAAAAGTATCCATCAACTTCAATCCATTGTGAGAAGTGCATCCACCACCAATATAATCAGCCTCCTACCAAATCCCTAGACCCCAAATTATAGGTCGTCTATTTGGCATGACGCTGCATATATCCTTATGGTGTAATTAGTTATTGATGAAATATTCCAATGCCAATTTTCAAGATTTATTGGTGTACTAATTCCTTTATGTCCAACCTTTCATAGGCAGGTATCATGCCTGAGAGATGTGCCCTGTTGCCCAGTGAGCTAAAAAAAAAACCCAAAATATTTATTGCAGTATTTCAAATGTCAACCGGTACAATGCACCAAGGAAACCTTTTATAGGAAAATATGGAGGCTGTCATTGCTGTAATATTTAGTAAACTTGAGACCAAACCATACAACTGTAACATGAGGTTGAGTCCATGGATTCAAAAGATTCGTTTGTGTTGTTATTTAACTTGCAAGATCTTTTTTTTTTTTTTTTTTTATATCCTGAAGTAAATCTAATCAATCTATAGACTAAAAAGCACAATTATGTAAAAATCTTTACATAATTTGGGGATCTTTATTTTGATTCATTCAAATTAAATATAGGTTTTATTTTCCCTGAAGGCAAAGAGAGGAATGCATCTGTGCTCAGACTATCCTGCTTCAGTTACTCCAGAGTTGCTTCAGTGTACTGACAACAGGAAATCCTGCTCCTAATAATCCGAGCCAAGCCCAGTCTGCTCAGGAACTGTACACACACTTGTGTGATGGTAAGAAAAAAAAACTTTCATGTTTTATAATACACCTGTCATCTGTTCTACGTGCACCAGACTAGGTCTGGTACAAGTGATCATATTGCCCCTATCCTGGTGTCCTAGCACTGGCTACCAATCAGGTTTCACATAGACTTTAAAATCCTCTTGGTCACCTATAAGGCTCTTCATGGCTTGGCACCCCATTATCTCTCTGAACTTTTATCAACTTGCGACCCCCCCTCATACCCTCAGCTCCTCAAATTCTGGTCTTCTGTTTGTCCGCCCTACTCACCTACACTCGATGGGAGATGCAGCCTTCTCCTGCTATGCTGTAAAACTCTGGAATTCACTTCTAGAGAACCTGAGAGGGTCATTCTCTAAACTCATTCAAATCAAATCTAAAAACGTTTTCTTTAGATAAGCTTTCATGTAATTGTCCCTTTTTTCCTTTATTTTATCCTGTGTATTGCTTGTGTTTTCTTTGTAAAGTGCTTTGAGAAGTTACCTTTTAAAGGCGCTATATAAAATAAAGTTTATTATTATTATAGATTTTAGATGTTTTTCAGCTGTGTATTGTCCAATTTAACCTTAGCATGCATGTTCCTATTCATATTCAAAATATTCAAAATACTATAAATAATAACATTGTGTATCTGTTAGAAAATAATGAAATGTAATCAACAAGTAGATAATGGTTTCCAATAGCTGAACACAGACTTTTTGCTTTAAATGTTGGTGAGGGTATACTGGATTATTTATGTAGATTTTCGTTAAGAAAATCGTAGCAGACCAAAGACAAATGCACCAGTTTTATTAGCACTTTTCTCTCACAATCTGTATTGCAGTTTAACCGTCTCTGGTATCCCTTACAAACTGGTGGGCAAAGCATGGGCTTTAGGTGTCCTTATAGCACCTATTACTGACTGGCCAACCGGGTACTCCAGAGTCACGGTCAAGAGTTTCTAAAAGTTCAACAGATATTCAACATATGTGGCTTTGTAATAATGTTTGTAATAGGCACATGACAAGAGAGAGTTTAACTACGGGGAAATACCTGCAGGGATCTTGTAAATGGTTAGACTACATTCACATGGTTGTAAAAATTTTGCTGATCTTATTATGAATGTTTGTTTTTTTCCCCCAGCACAAAAGTTCATGTATAATGATCAGAAAATACCTGTGTAAAACTGTCTTTTTTTTTTTTTTTTATCCATTCCAATGCCTGCTTCAGGCATACATATATGTCCTCAGGCGCAGATTTTTGGATTTTGTGTTACAGATCTGAATGCAGTGCATGTTTAAGAACCTGTGTGAATCTCTACATTTAAAAGAATGCAGCTTCTTTCAGATCTGTAAATACAAATGCTTGTAAATGCATTGTTTACGGCACTGTCAATAAGTCCTAAAGAGGTTTATGTAGGGCCACAAACCTAAAATAATATCATAGGAAGTATATGCCTGATTTGTATTATATTTCAGCTATGGACAACATGGACACGTCAACTCTGTATTCTAAAGCCCTTAAAGAGGAAATTACAAACACTTTACTGAACGGAGCTGCTATTTTTTTTCCTGATCGCATGGCTAGACGTGATCGCCTGTTCTCCTTAATGGTATGAATATGTTTTGTTCTTAGCAAGTGAGCACATTTGTTTTTGCTGAAACAAGATCACAAGGTGAACTTACTTTTTTTAACACTAAAAAATAGATTGTTTCATGTGTAAGTGAAAGCTGACATCTACAAAGTGATTTAGATTAACTATGCTATAAAACCCATAAACCTAAAATAGATCCCATTAGTATACACCACCTTTAAAATGACACACCATAGTCCTCATTGGTGCAGCCAATTCTTTTCACGTTAGTCACATTACTGGTGAAATGGAGGCCAACTGTGTGTAGCCATGCATTTTGAAGTGAATGTTCTATAAATACATGTGTATCCAAAAGGTTGGGGATGAGTACCAGAACCATTTAAAAACCACTGAATATATTTTGGAGTACAAATAAATCTGTAAGTAGTAGTGTATGGCACAGCTGTAGATCTGCCAAAAACAGGCTATCCACCATAAGTGATTGACAGGTAAGTATTTACAGGTTCTGGAAAAGCCCCCATTCACCTCTGTATCTGTAAGCATTTTGAAGAAAGTAATTTTCAGGCCCTATGTTTTTCTATTAGAACGGATATTTGTAACCTGAGAGCTCTGTAAAAACACAGCAGGTGTTTTTAGGTTGTTAGATAATACTGAAAGCCAACCTTAGCGTCTTTGTGAGGATAACACACAGAGGCTACTCTGTTGCTAATGATTCTTTACTAATGTTAAGTTTAATGTTCATAATATGAGCACACGTCCAGTGGTGGTGGCAGAATTATGCTGTGAAGATGCTTCTTTTTAGTAGACCCTGAAACACCTGTAATGGTAGAGGGTAGAATGGATAAAGCAAAACACATGATGTCCTAATTACACAGTACAAGACACAGGCGTGTGATATCCATAGACCTTGGGTTATAGGTTAGTATTTTCAGGTGATTTGCCCCTGAACTTTTCCCAATAGCCCTACCCCACTCTGTGTGAGTCCTTTGTTTTTTGCTAGTGTCCTAAGGTGCTAGATCTCTTCTCCCTAGATGGAGAAATAACTCTTCGCTTAACTAGGGTATTTTTTTTATCTTGAATTGTTCAAGCAATTTTTCTAATACAATAGAAGCAGTGCATCCGGATTGCTGAAACCTTGGTAAAACCATATGAGCCATATCGGGACCCTACACTGTGCGGACGGTCTGTAATGTTGCTTTGGGCACTGGATCCTGCTTGGTTGCTCTCCTTGGCACTTGGTGCAACGTGTGTAGTTACCCACAGGGTGCTATACAGGTCCAGAGTCATGGTCCATCACTATAGAATGCAAACCACGAAGACCCGTTTTGCATGTGGTCATCTCGCGGCTTCAAAAACTGCTTTTTTTTTATTCTATCAGGAATATTCCCTTTTTCACCTTTTCTCACAAGTTGTTTTTCTTGTTACCTTCACCTCTCCAAGGTGTGTCTCATGTACTTCAAAGCCACAGGTTGTGTTGAGGCCCAGAGCCCTTACCTTTCTGTGGTGGTTTTTGCTTTACCCCTCAACCAGACATGGTATTCCTATCTTTCTGTTCAGCTCCAGTGTGTTTGCAAATTGCAGTGTTCAAAATTAAAGCTGATAGAGGCCCCATCTATAGTCAAGTAATTTCTGCCAAACTTATTTCCCTTGTAAATAATGTAAACCACTTTTCAGAGATGTCTTTTTACTTTGATGTAAAAGAGGATACTTCTGTTGATCATAGAGAAAAAAGGATTGTCTACTGAGTAAATGTTGGTTGACAGTGAAGTTTGAAAACTTCCAAGGGGGAAAGTTTTTAGAGGTGCTATATAATAAATATATATTCTTTATTTGACTGATTTTTTTTTTTTTTTTTTTTTTTTTTGCTCATGTGTTTTTTAGAAGAGGATCACAGAAGAGAAGCAACCACAGTCAGTTCTCATTACCTTCCAATCACTCTGTACTTATTTCAGGTAAGATCTGATTGAATCTGAGGTATAGATAAATATATATTTTTTCAGACTTTGCTATCAAAATTAGCTTAAGCTGGCCATACATGTCTTGCATTTTATCAAATCCTTGCTGAATTGGCAGAAATTTAAGTTGTGAGTGGCCCTTTCGGCATCCCATTTCTTGATGAAATCTTTAAAATTGTCTCCTGAACAAGGACTGTATTGAGTCAGATGTCACTGTGCAGATATTTAGCAGAGACAGGTCCTGTCTACTGCAGAATACAATAGCTGGAGCTAATAGTCCACTCTGTTTAGTGCGTTTTGAGGAATCTGTTCGAAGTCTATATTTGTTTGGCTAGCCTCAGGTTTTCTTTTACATGATAGAAAAAGATAGGAGTGAAAAATTAAGTATGAAATAATCGATTGTAATATTGTATTATTCAACATCTGCTGCAACTTGAGGTATGGTGTCATATACTAAGAAGCATTCTGAAATATGTATAGTATGGCAGTATTCAGCCAAGTGTAGTTTTTTTTTTTCTCATTTGAAAAAAGCACAACATTTGGAAAGCATCTACTATCGGAACATGGATATCGCTTAAGTGTTTAAACCCCCCCCCAAAAAAACCCCATATATTTAAAGAGAAACTGCAATTTTTTTAAGACTTTACACATGTGACTTTTTGGCACTGGGTAGACCACATCAGACCTGTTCTTATATTTTACATTTTGTTCAGACGTGAGCTGCAGGTTTTGTTTTTTTTTTTTTGTTGTTTTTTTTTTTGCTTGTTTTATAGTATTACAAGAAGTAACACATTTTTATTCCCATTTGTTGAGGGACACAGGAAGGCATATACTGTCACCTGTAGAAGAATTGGACTTGAACAACTTGTGAGCCAGTCTAGGATAATTCCTCTTACTGTGTGTGTGTGTTTTGTTTATTTTCATGTGTGTGTATATGTATGTCTGTATGTTACTGTTAGGCTTCATTCACATGGGTGTACATAAACCTATACCTGTGCGGGGGCCATGTTTGCACACATGGAAGTACACAGGTGTTCAGTGAATACCCATGCAGGCAGTCCATTCATGTCAGGGGGGACACAATGGCTGCACAGTCACAATCTCTGCTTTCCAGTCTGACATGTATGTGAGTATGGGTCCCTGAACGTACATTATCTGCGGTTTGGGACCCACACCCATGTGAATGTCAAATTAGGAGCAGCAGCTGTGTCTGTGAAGCCACTGCATCTTATTTGACATGAATGGGGCTGCTTGCAAAACTTCACGTACATGCACACATACATACTTACTGCACATAAGCTCAAATTCATACATACAATATACACTTAAATACACACATGTACACACATACATAAACTCACATACATACATACACACTCGCATACAGCCTTTTGAAAAAATGCAGCTTTCTAAACCTGGCTGATGCCAGCATCTGCGTTTGGCACCCTCACTGCTGAGTAAAGATGTTTGTGTACACATTACTGCATGTAAAATTGAGAAATTGTTTTGGCCCTTATTAATTTGGTACTCACCACTTTTGAAACTAGAGGATCAGCCTGTTGCCTCTACCAATTCTGTCCTCAGTCAAGGATCCTTTAGTGTACCTGAAACCACCAAGACCTTCCCAGTGCACCCATTTTCTCAGTCTTCCTTTATGAATACTGGAAACATCCAAACAAGATGTTTCCACCAAGATGTATCTGCCAAGCATCTATCAGTTATTTAATCGTTTGAGGAGGACTTTTTTAAAAAGTGGTCTGAACCCTCTGTGGATCCAGCAGTGTCCCATCTTAATGTGTCCACTATACCAGTGGAGGATGCACCTGTCTTTAAGAACCCCATGCACGGGCATGGAGAAGACCCTTTCTGGAGCCTTGTTCTCTCTGGCAGGCCCAGCTGTGACCATGATCTGTCAAACTGTGATTGACTGGTCTAAGGCTAAGTTATCTGATCCTTTGATCAGAAAACTTTTAGAGTTCATGCCTTCAGATTTAAGCTACAACTTGGAAGGGGTGTTGCAGGTGTCCTGTCTCATTTCCTTTATTCTCTCCTGTCTAGGGATGCACTGATACCCTTTTTTTATACCGATTACTGATGCTTTGTGGTGCGATTTGAGGCTTTACAGAATGTATGGATGCAAATTGCACCTTAACGAATAGCATGCAGTTTGAGCAAGAATGTGATTCCTGTCCAAATATCATGTGGTTTCTCCATTGCTCCTGTTTAAACCCAGGCTTGTCATAGCCTGGGTTCACACAGGAGTGGTGCAGGGAGGTTTCCCACAGCACAGAGTGGGAGAGTGGGCGTGTAGGTATGTATACCTGGTGGCAGATGCTCCGTATTCTCAGTGGTAGGAGAGGTATGCAGGTATGACAGTTGGGGCTACTTGCAAAAAAAATTGTGCATTTATTATTTTTTGTTAAAAGGTGAACTTGTCCTTTAAAAAAAATATCTTAAAACAAGCAGTGTTGATTTACTTTAAAATCATCTAAAATTGTCAACGCAATTTTGATATATTGCACCAAACTTCAGATTGTAGCACCACTGTAAGAAGAACGTTATTTAGAATATTTATCCTCCAAGGGCAAAATTGAATGTAAATGTGTTAGCAGCACATGTGTAATCATTCAAGGACAGCCCCAGCACTTGCTAATGGAGAGTCTCAGCATACACAGGGTGATTGGAAGTGTAAGCACATTTAAATTGCTGGGTGCATTAGTATGAAAGCTGTGGCCAGTGCAGACAGTCCTGGTGATAGCTTATGACGAAGCAAGTATTTAAGTTTTTGGTCTTAGACTGTGCTTAGCTCTTACTAGGGATGAGATTCACTGGTGAAATTTAATAGACACAGGTAGCCCCCTGTGTTATTTAACCTATTCTAGAGAAGGCTTGTGAATATTGATATGCCACACTTTTTTCATCACGAAGTTGGGCTTAACAACCAAACAATGAATTTATACGTATTATGCTTTTAATTGTAAGTTACGTAAACTCAGTGTTATGTTTTGAACGCTTGTTTTAAACAAATTACGTATGTATGTATTTGTAAATTAAGCTTTTTATTTATCTTGTTTTAGTGAACAAGATCCAAGTGGACTTTTGTTTCTACCGGATGCAGACATTCCCCCTGATTTTGAAATCAGCCAAGTTCTCTCAGTCATGGAGAAGCTTCTGGCAATGGCCATTAGAGAGGTAGCTTTCTGACATATTCTGTAGCTGTCACTTGATAGCATTGAGTTGTGGGTGTAAAAAAAAATAGGCTTTAATTGACTTTCAGATTACAAGCATGATCTGACTACTTAGTGGTCTATGTTGATCTTTTTAATTGTAAAATGTTTATATTCGCTTGATACATTAACATGTACAGTAAGTTTAAAGTCCTATTTTCAACAGCCCCTCATTTAAAAACTGTCTTTGATGTTTAACCCCTTCCCACCAACAGTATGCTTATATTGAACTGGACTTTTATCTTGGTTCTGGGTCACCTGATCACTGTGATAGCCTCTGATTGGTTATCACAGTGATCAGTCGTGGTGCAGCCTGCCCCTGTGTTTACATTCTCTCCAAATGAAGTGAGAAAGCTATGTAAACAAATATGTGTGATAACCGCATCCCGTTTGCCCTGTAGCAGAAGCACTGCTACAGGGCGGCATGGGTGCACAAAATCATGTATATATATGTGATTTTGCAGTTCCGGGAAGGGGGCCAACATAGGATCCTTTGTTACATTTTCTGCACCGGATAAGGTACACAACACTGGAGGTGCAGCTGTATGATCCGGAGATATTAGACTGTGCAACCAAATCAATCCATCCAAAAGTGTCAGACACTCAAAAGGGATCTTTAATATCTCCGGATCATACAGCTGCACCTCCAGTAATGTTGTGTACCTTATCCGGTGCAGAAAATGTAACAAAGGATCCTATGTTGGTGAAAGAGGACAGAAGTTACAAACAAGGATGAATTTGCACAGACATACCATCAAGGAACATAAAGAAGATGACTTTTGCACACCTGTGGGACAGCATTTCGCACAACCAGACCACACTATGGAAGACCTCAATATTTTAGTTCTTAAAGGAAATTTCAAATCCATCCAGGAAAGAAAAACGTTCGAACTAAGAATGATAATTCTATTTGACACAAGAGATAACGGCCTGAATTTGGACATGGGATTCCTCACTCATTATCCAACAGTTCTATCACCTCAAGCATTACTGCCTCTGTGAGTGTAGTCTCCCCCCTCCCCAAACTTTGCTTTTTCTGTGTCTTATCTTACCTGTTCTCCTTTTTTTTTTTTTTTTCCTTCCAACTCCAAAAACATCTCTTCTAACCCTTTGTGATCAGTACTGCTTTGACCTGAAGAAGAGGACACTCCCCGAAAGCTTGTCCTTAAAATTGTTTGTTAGTGCAAATAAAAAAAAGTATCACGGACAGTACTCAATTGAGGTTTTAGGTAACACAACCTGGCCCACGCAGGAGCTGGCTCAGCCAGTTACAATACACAAAGCCATAGCCAAAAACAATTACAGACAGAAAAATAGCATACGAAACTAAAACATATGCTGTGTGTGTGTGTCCCATGCTATACTCAAAGTATACATTCACAGGACCAACTCGCTGCAAAACCCAGTGTGAGGGTGGATGTTTTAATTTTCAAAGAATTAGTATTTCAGTAATGTATACTATTATCTGTTATTGGGATGTCTTTTTGTTGCAGTGTAAAATGCTGGTTTTACGTGATGCCCAAGGAGAATGTGGCACAATCCTCCATTCATTGTTTTGGGCAGTGCAAGGCAGTCTTCTATCTTGGTGCTTTTGTCAGTTAAAGAGGGAAGATGCCGTGTCCCAGCTAATGGCAAGAGAATTGGTGGTTAAATGTGAGTTTTTGATCTATCTTCTAAAAGTAAACCATTAATGTATTAAAATTTGATTGAACTGCATTATTGCACCTCTTGCTACTTTAATGATTTATTTTAAAGTGTACATTTACTCAAAAATATGTCAATATGATGTGCTGATATTATTTTTTTAATTCTTGACTAAACTTGGGTTTTTAGGCTCTAAACACTGTTAATATTTCTATATTTTTTTTTTTTCATTGCATTTACCCTTTGCTTGACAATCCTTTGCCTTTTAGTCTTGAAAATAGAGAGAATTGATTTTCAAGATTTGCCTTCCATTTATTTCAATAGGATTAACATTCAAGTTGTCAATGTGTGGATTTTCGGGTGTATTCTCAGAATGTGTCTGCAAATCGACCACAAGCAGATTCGCCCATGATAACAACTATGACTTGATGATCACATTTGTCATTTTGTCAGCCTTTGTGTTCTTTAAAAAGACAGAAACACATATTAGGTAGGCAAAAAAGTGATGGTTGTTGTCAGGTTAACCAAGTCATGTTTCTATTAAATTTGATCTGGGCATTTTTGCATCGGTGATCTCTGCTTATTAAAAGGTTAGGCTAGAGCAGGCCTTAAATGATGTGATACTTCCAAAATGTTGTCCCTTACCACTTCCTATTCTATTTCAGTAGTTGTCTATTGTCAATAAACACCCAGTTTGTTTTATTTGGTAATTCCAAGTAAAACTATGGTCCCTATCTATTTCCATAACCATAATCATTTATGTTGTGATTGTTGGTAAAAACCTGGTTGAGTTTGTTATGACAGGTGACTTTCCTATTCAAAGTTTTCAACCCTGAGTTCACATTCTTCCATGTTGCTCTTATAGTAAGCCTTTTGCTTCTAGTTTCTGCTCTGGAAGCCACCCCACATGACTCTTTTTGTCAGTTTGCCATTTCACTCCAGAGTGATCACCAACATCTCCTCCTCTCAAGCCCATTTGACAATCTGACTTTGATTGCGGTGCAGCTTCAGCAGGAATAATTGATACTCTTCTTCCTGCTAGCTGCCCTCTTACGTGACACACATATCCGGGGCTTGCATAGCTGCCCCCTGAGGGTGATTGGCAGCAGTTCCTTTACCAAGCCCTAAGTTCTTTGCATCCAGGGGAAATTAAGAAGACTTCCTGCAGTGACATCTGCAGGCTGCGTAATAGCTTTCCTGCTTGCTGTGCCCACACTTCTCTTAATGCAGTGCAAGGCAAATTGCTGAATTTAAGTTTATAGAGAGATTTAGAGACTGTTCTTATGTTTCTTATTGTCTTATACAGGCTTGTTGTGTTGCATTTACTGATATTTATAAGAGAATAGCTGATATAATTTTCTTAGCTGAATACACCACTGTATCGTGCTGTGATTTTACATTTCTTCCAACAGCACTATTGCTTGTGTATTTTGACATTAATTTGTAATTAGTTAATTGTTTCTTTCTAGATATTGACCTTTTCCTGTCAGAAACTAAAAATGTTCTGGAGTATCTGCTGAGTAATTGTAGTGGGAAGGAGATCACTGAAAAGTTGAGTGATTCTGTATTTGCCATGGCAACACGTCAGCTGGTAAGACTAATTGTAATCTTACTTATTAATTGTATGATGATTTACTCACATCATTTAAATACTACATTTCTTTGACAGATGACCTACATGCTGGAGTTTTGTGCTCTTGATATTCCTCATTGTTCATTACTTCAGAGTTTCAGCAAATTAACCAAGTTGTTGAAGAAACTATGTGGTGATCCCACAGAAAGTGCAAACAAGGTAACTTATTTACTTTACTAAAAACCCATTTGAGCATGTGGCTTTTGTGTGTCCCCATTGAAGTACATCATTTTCCCAGTGGCTTTTAGGGAAATATGCTTTTAGTTTACTTCACCGTAAGAACGCTCATTTAATATATGCCCCATTAGCCACAAAGGTTATGAATTTAATTTTGTCTGTACCAATTGCCTTTGCATACCCAGATATAACCTTGTAAAGGTAGCAGTGGCATAAGTTATTTATAGCTCTTGGTGGTATCATGAGCTTTACTACTAAATGTTTAGAAGGAGAAATAAACAGTTTGAGAAGCTGCATAAAAGTGTTTTGTTGTTTTTTTAAATGGAGAAACGCAGTTATTCTTTAACCACTTGTCTACAGGGCACTTATACCCCCTTCCTGCCCAGGCCAATTTTCAGCTTTCAGCGCTGTCACACTTTGAATGACAATTACACGGTCATGGAACACTGTACCCATATGAAATTTTTATATTTTTTTTTAGACAGATAGAGATTTCTTTTGGTGGTATTTAATCACCTCTGGGTTTTTTATTTTTTGCTAAACAAACCAAAAACAACTGAAAATTTTGAATAAAAAAGTTTTTTCTTAGTTCTTGTTATAACATTTTGTAAATAAGTTATTTTTCTCCTTCACTGATGTGCGCTAATGAGGCTACAGTGATGGGCACTGATAGGCTGCACTGATGTGCACTGATGAGGCACTGGTAAGGTGGTACTGATGGGCATTGACAGGCATCACTGATGGGCACTGAAGGTCAGCACTCATATATGGCACTGATAGGTGGCACTGACTGCCACTGATAGGTGGCACTGACTGGCCCTGATAGGCAGCACTGACTGGCCCTGATAAGCATCACTGACTGCCATTGTTAAGCGGCACTCACACGCACTGACAGACGGCACTGACATGCACTGATAGGCGGCACTGGCTGGCACTAATAGGTGGCACTGATTGGCAGCACTGATAGGTGGCACTGACTGACATTGATAGGTGGCACTGACTGGCATTGATAGGTGGCACTGAAAGGCAGCTCAGATGGGCACTGATATGTGGCATTGATACGCACTGGTAGGCACTGATATGTGGCATTGATGTGGCACTGATGGGCATTGGCAGGTGGCATTGAGCACTGACAGCTGGCATTGATGGACACTGACAGGTGGCACTGCTGGGGCTACACTGATCATCAGGGCACACTGATAATCAGTGCCTTGATGATCAGTGTACATGTCCCCTCTTAGGAATGCTGATTTACCGGCTCTCCTCTCCTCTGTCAACGTGACAGCTGGTGTGGAGAGAAATACCGATAACCAGCATTTCCTTATTTACATGCGATCAGCTGTGATTGGACACAGCTGATCACATGACCAAGCCGACGTCTTCGGCTCTTTCCGTTGATCGGTGATCTGCTGTGTCTGAGGGACACAGCACACCACCGATCACCGTGCTGCACACCCCCTGAGCCATGCACGCGCAGTTAGAGTGGGAGGACGTCATATGACGTCCTCCCAGAACAAGAGAAACGCCTTGCGCCCATCATTTCCTTATATGGCGGGCGGGAGGCGATTAAAACAAACTTGTGCTTTGACCATGCACTGCAATACAAATTGTTTTATTTCCCTGTTCCCAGCACGTTTCTTCTTTCTTCCCTGCCTTGCTACTCCATTCAGCCACCAGGAGCAAAGGGCCAGTGCTGTCACAAAGGATGAAGGGGAGTGCGTCAAATGTTAGTCCATACTTTGAAGTGCTGGGTATTTTCTACCAAGGGAAAGAAATTTTAGTATGTGCTGCTGAGGCGAAGCCTTCAAATACCCTGCATTACGTTTGACTGAACCTCATTCATGTGTCCCTGTTTTGCATCAGATATCAGCTAAACATTAAATGCATTGTTTTAAATTGTCAAAGATTTTTTTGAGAAGGTGCGGTAAAGCCCAGCTTTTGTGTAGTATGCCAAATCAGGGAGTAGCAAATATGGCTGTCCTATATACACAGAGAAAAATTAAGGAGAAAAAAAAACAAAAAAAAACAAAACTCATGGTTACAGCTGCAGCAATGAGGTCCTTTTAACCACTTTATAGTCAGGATGTTTTAAACCTCCCTAAGTGGTTAAATGGATCCCCAACACTCTACTACAACACTGGACGTTGTGTTAGGAAAGAGGGTCAGTTGCAATTTTAGGATTTTTAGGCAGCCTATTCAAAATAAATGGGCTACCTTAAAGTGTTAATAAACCCAGGGACCCTGTATTCACTCTATCTTGTCTCCCACAGTACACAGAACATGGAAATGCAACTATTTTAGTAAATATAAACTGCTAAATACCTTTTCTCATCAGCAGTTAGAGTAGTCTTGTGACTTCTGTCAGTGGCCAGCAGAGCACTGGTTACAGATGTAAGAGTTTTTATTCTCCTGTAGCAGGATGCAGGATTCTGACCTCTGGAGAGTGCTGATTGGCCCTGTACTGATCACATGCACTCTCCCAAGAAAAAAAAAATGTTTTGGCAATACACACCAGACTGAGAATTTGCAGATTGCCCTTAGCCTCTGTTCTATCAGGAGATATTTGGGAGATACTGGAAGAAGGGGAAGATCAGAGAAGAGAGGAACAAACATCCTTTTTACACAATGTGAAAGATTAACTCCTTAGGTTCCACAGTGAATATAACAAGCATGCTTTACTGCATATACAGACTGATTTTACTGTTGTGGGTTTAGTAACACTTTAACGCAGTGCATGTTGCCGTGCTTCACAGGTGTAATTGGATACTAATACAATTTTCTATCTTAATCACACAGTACAGTACACAGGCATTCATACACAGAGTATTCATAGACTCTGGGTTATGCGTTTGTAGTTTTAGGTGATTGATCACTGGCAAGCTTTTGAGGACACACCCCCTGGATGCCTCCCTTTTAACCCTACCCTACTCTGAATCTTCAGGTTTTTTTTCTAGTGTCTTAAGGTGTTGGACTAGGTTATTATATCTTTGGATTCTTCAATCATCTCTTTAATCAACTCCTTCATCCAGATGGGGACTACCTTGGCAAAACATTGGAAGCTGTATTTAGACTCAAATATGTTCACTTTATAGTGTAACCTTTCCAGACTTGGTGCTAAAAATTCAACCACTCACAGCTTAGTCTCAGGTGGATGACTAGGTACATCACACCACTAGCTACAAACTTTGCCACCATTTCCAATAGAGCCCTTATAAGGTGCTCAAGTCACTCTTTTTCACTAATTCACTACAGGCTGGTCCTGCTTGCTGCTTTTGGACACACTTTCTCTATATTCTGCATCTTACTCTGCGAGTACCCCACAGGGGAATACCCTCACACCCCTAGTTATGGCAAAAAAACCAGATGAGCATTTGCTCTGCTGAAGAACCGCAGAACACTCAACCTCAGAAATGACGATGCTTCCTACTAGAGCAAGACCTGATATCAATATTGGTCTTAATATCCAATTTTAGTTTATCTCAGGCATGCCACAAGCAGTCCTACCTATCAAAAGCAGGTTTTTCTGCATCAATGTATAATTTCTTAAACAGTGGCAAAGAAGGGAATGATGAGGACATAGTCAGTGTTAGAGGAGGCTGCAGAGAATTTCTCACCCCCCACACTTCTTTACACCTAAAGCTGCAGCTTCATGTAACATGCTTGCTAATGTGGATAATCTTACTTCCGCTCTGTGCAAAAGCCTCGGCGTTAACGAACTTGATTTCCACCGTCTCAATATGCCCCTTTAGTTACAAAGTTACAAAGAGACTTGCAAAATCTGTAAATACATTCCCCTTTCATGAATAAATAGAATTCTTTGAAGATTGGATCACTCCAGAAAAGATTTTCCAATCTTCAGAAATCTTGAACTCTGTCTTTTGGAAAGAGTTCACTAAAAATTAATTGGTTCCAGTAGTTGATCCTGCTGTCTCAATTTTTAATGGATAAGTTCACATTTTAACAAAAAATAATACATTTGCAGGTAAAAAAAATGTGCATTTACTATTTTTTGTTTTAGGTGCCTGGAAAGCATGGCACCAGCGATCAGGAGATCGCTGGTGCCATGCAGGTCTCCTACAAACTGTCAGTGTAAACTGCCTGCTCAATTTTCATACGAGCAGACAGTTTTACACTGACAGGAAGAATCAGTCAACAGAGCCATGGATTCCCCACTAGCTGTCACATCGGGAGGTGCAGGGGCTGGTACAATTGTTACATGTTACACCCTGAATATGGGTGTAACATGTTACAAAACGTGGACGTATCCTTTAAACAAACATCTAACTGTACCAATTGAAGATGTTTCTTCATTCAAAGATTGACAGGTACTAAGTTTGAGTCATTCTTAAAAACTCTTTACTTTTGCAGGCCCATACGTCACTGCAATTTCAGTATGTCAAACTGCAGCTAACTGGACTAGGATAACCACTTAGGATAGGGTCACACCTGTGGGGGCCGCAATTTGCACAGACACAAGAGCCCATTCATGTGAATGGGATGCCATGACATGCACGAAAGAAGTTCCTGCACTGTTTTTTTTAAATCGAAACCCACACGGGAACGGAGGTTCCCAGTACAGGTGCGATTTCCAGTGCGAGTTACGTGCCATTAGGAGCAGACCATTTTTTTAAAATATTCACACTGTGCTACTTTAACTAGCAATTGCACGGTCATACAATACTGTACGCAAATGAAATGTATATAATTTTTTTTCACACAAATAGAGATTTCTTTTGGTGTTATTTGATCACCACTGGGTATTTTATTTTTTTATTATACGAACGAAAAAAGAAAAAAAATTGGGGAAGAAAAAGATATTTTCTGTTATAAAAACATGTCCAAAAAAAAAAATCTAATTTCTTCATAAATTTAGCCCAAAATGTATTCTGCTACATGTCTTTGGTGAAAAAAAATTCCACTAAGTGCATATTTTAATTGGTTTGACTAAACGTTATAGCGTCTACAAACTGTGGTACACACAGTGGGTAAAATAAGTATTGAACACGTCACCATTTTTCTAGGTAAATATATTTCTAAAGGTGCTATTGACATGACATTTTCACCACATTTCAATAATAACCCATGCAACCTATACATACAAAGAAATCAAAACAATTTCAGAAGTTAAGTTATGTGTAATAAAATGGAATGACACATGAAAAAAATATTGAACACATGAAGAAAGAGAGGTGCAAGAAAGCATGGAAAGCCAAGACACCAGCTGAAATCTATCAGTAATTAGAAAGCAATCCTGCCCCGTCAGAGCAAATTATTATCAGCTGGTTCAGTCTCAACTGAAGGCCTGTAAAAAGGTGTCTTATTACCAAGGTGTCTCTCTTGATGGGTAAAAGCTCTCTCAAGACCTTCGCAACCTTATTGTTGCAAAACTTACTGATGGCATTGGTTAACAGAAGGATTTATAAACTTCTGAATGTTCCTGTGAGCACTGTTGGGACCATATTCCGGAAGTGGAGAGAACATCATTGCACCATAAACCGGCCACATCCAGGTGCTCCTTCAAGATTTCTGACAGAGGAGTGAAAAAAAATTATCAGAGTCATCCAAGAGCTTCAGAAATTCTGAATTAGCAGGTTCAGTTGTTTCAAAGAAAACATTAAGTAATGCACTCCATTGCTGAAGAAAAAGAATGTTGAAGCTCGTTTAAAGTTTTCTGCACAACATTTAGACAGGCCTGTGAAATACTGGGAGAATATAGTCTGGTCAGATGAGACCAAAATTGGACTCTTTGGATGCCATAATACACACCCCCTGTTTGGAGGTCAAATGACACTGCACATCACCCCCAAAGCACCATACCAATAGTGTAGTTTGGAGGTAGGAACATCATGGTGTGGGGCTGTTTTTCAGCATACAGTACTGGCAAACTTCATATCATTGAAGAATGAATGGAAAAATGTAACAAGACATTCTTGATAAAAATCTGCTGCCATCTGCCAGACTGATGAAGATGAAGCAAGGGTGGACATTTCAGCAAGACAACGATCCCAAACACAAAGTCAAGGAGACTCTCAATTGGTTTCAAAGAAGGGAAATAAAGCTGCTAGAATGGCCCAGCCATTCACCTGACTTGAATCCAATAGAAAATCTATGGAGAGAACTAAAGATCAGAGTTCATAGAAGAGGCCCATGGAACCTTCAAGATTTGAAGACTGTTTGTGTGGAAGAGTGGGCCAAAATCACACCTGAGCAATTCATGACACTAGTTTCTCCATACAGGAGGCGTCTTTAACCACTAGCCTACAGGGCACTTATACCCCCATCCTGCCCATACCAATTTCCAGCTTTCAGCGCTGTCACACTTTGAATGAAAATTGCGCGGTCAAACAACACTGTACCCATATGAAATTTTTATCATTTTTTGTGACAGATAGAGCTTTATTTTGGTGGTATTTAATCACCTCTGGGTTTTTTATTTTTTCTTAAACCAAAAACCACTGAAAAGTTTGAAAAAAAATGTATTTTCTTAGTTTTTGTTATAAAATTTTGTAAATAAGTGATTGTTCTCCTTCACTGATGTGCGCTAATGGGGGCTGCACTGATGGGCACTGATAGGCTGCACTGATGGACACTGATAGGTGGCACTGATGGGCACTGATGAGGAGGCACTGGTAGGTGGCACTGATGGGCATTGACAGGCATCACTGATGGACACTGAAAGGCAGCACTGATACATGGCACTGATATATGGCACTGATAGGCAGCACTGATAGGCGGCACTGACTGGCACTAATAGGTGGCACTGACTGGCACTGTTAAGCGGCACTGACTGGCACTAATAGGCGGCACTGACAGGCACTGATAGGCGGCACTTATGCACACTGATAGGCAGCACTGACTGGCACTGATATGTGGCACTGATTGGCAATGATAGGTGGCAATGACTGGCACTGATGGGTGACACTGAAAGGCAGCTCAGATGGGCACTGATATGTGGCATTGTGCACTGGTAGGCACTGATATGTAGCACTGATAGGCACTGGCACGAGGCACTGATGAGCACTGACATAAAGCACTGATACACTGACAGGTGACACTGCTGGGGCTACACTGATCATCAGTGCCCTGATGATCAGTGTACATGTCGCCTCCGCGGAAAGCCGATTACCGGCTCTCCTCTCGAGCTGTCAGCGTGACAGCTCGAGAGAAGAGAAATGCCGATAACCGGCATTTCCCTGTTTACATGTGATCAGCTGTGATTGAACACAGCTGATCACATGACCGAGCCGACATCTTCGGCTCTTTCCATGATCAGTGATCCGCTGTGTCCGAGGGCATGCGCAGTGAGAATGGGATGACGTAATATGACATCCTCTCAGAACGAGAGAACCAGGTGGTTAAGCTGCCATTACCAACAAAGGATTTTGTACGAAGTATTAAATACATTTCAGTTCGTGTGTTCAGTACTTTTTCCCCGTGTCATTCTATTTTATTATGCATAACCTAATTTCTGAACCTATTTTGGTTTCTTTGTATGTATAGATTGCATTGGATTTTACAGACATGTGGTGAAAATTTAATGTCAATAGTACCTTTAGAAATACAGTTGCAAGAAAAAGTATGTGAACCCCTTGGGATTACATGGAGTTTTGCATGAATTGGGCATAAAATGTGCTCTGAACGTCATCTAAGTCACAACAATAGAAGAACACAGTTTGCTGAACATAATACTACACAAACATTAGATGTTGCCATTTTTTAATTGCACATAACATGTAAACATTCACAGTGCATTGAGGAAAAAGTATGTGAGGCCCTAGCTTAATGAGTTCTCCCAGAGCTAATTGGAGCCAGGAGTGAGCCAACCTTGACTCCAATCACTGTGATGATATTGGATGTGTTGCTGACAGCTGTCCTGTCCTTAAAAAACACACACCCTGTTTTGGGTTTACTGGTTTCAAGAAGCACTGTCTGATGTGAACCATGCCTCGCAGAAAAGAGCTCTCAGAAGACCTACGATCAAGAATTGTTGACTTGCATGAAGCTGGAAAGGGTTACAAAAGTATCTCCAAAAGCCTTGATGTTCATGTGTCCACGGTAAGACAGACTGTCTACAAATGGAGAAAGTTTAGCACTGTTGCTACTCTCCCTAGGCGTGGTCGTCCTGTAAAAATGACTGCAAGAGCACAGCGCAGAATGCTGCATGAGGTAAAGAAGAATCCCAGAGTGTCAGCTAAAGACCTACAGAAATCTCTGGCACATGCTAACATTTTTGTTGACATATCTACAATAAGGAAAACATTAAACAAGAATGGAGTACATGGGAGGACACCACGGAGGAAGCCATTGCTGTCCAAAAAGAATATTGCAGCACGTTTGAAGTTTGCAAAAGAGCACCTGGATGTTCCACAGCACTACTGGCAAAATATACTGTGGACAGATGAAACCAAGATTGAGTTGTTTGGGAAGAACACACAACACTATGTGTGGAGAAAAAAAGGCACAGCATACCAACATCAAAACCTCATCCCCACTGTAAAACATGGCGGAGGGAGCATCATGGTTTGGGGCTGCTTTGCTGCCTCAGGGCCTGGACGGATTGTTGTCATTGATGGGAAAATGAATTCCAGAGTTTATCAAGACATTTTGCAGGAAAACGTACGACCATCTGTCCGCCAACTGAAGCTCCGCAGAGGATGGATGATGCAACAACAATGACCCAAAGCATACAAGTAATTCAACAAAACAATGGCTGCAACAGCACAGAATACGCCTTCTGGAGTGGCCCAGTCAGAGTCCTGATCAACCCAATTGAAATGCTGTGGCATGACCTTAAGAGAGCGATTCACACCAGACATCCCAAGAATATTGCTACACTGAAACAGTTTTGTGAAGAGGAGTGGTCCAAAATTACTCCAGATCGTTGTGCAGGTCTGATCTGCAGCTACAGGAAACGTTTGGTGGAGGTTATTGCTGCCAAAGGAGGGTCAACCAGTTATTAAGTCCAAAGGTTCACATACTTTTTTCCTCCCTGCACTGTGAATGTTTACATGTTATGTGCAATTAAACCATGGCAACATCTAATGTTTGTGTAGTATTATGTTCAGCAGACTGTGTTCTTCTATTGTTGTGACTTAGATAACGTTCAGAGCACATTTTATGCCCAATTCATGCAAAACTCCACGTAATCCCAAGGGGTTCACATACTTTTTCTTGCAACTGTATATTTACTTAGAAAAATGGTGACGTGTTCAATACCTTTTACCCGCTGTATATATTTAAAAAATAATCAGTTCTGATATACTGATGGCCTGTCTCATTTCTTGAGAGCCATAAAGTGCCATGACAGTACAAATACCCCCCAAATGACCCTTTTTGGAAAGTAGACAGTCTGAGGTATTTAGTAAGAGGCATAGCAAGTTTTTTGAAGTTGTAATTTTTTGGAAAATTAAGAAATAAAATTATTTTGTTTACATACGGTCACCGGCGCAGTAAAGCGCCATCATATGAGTCGTGTAGTGGCGATCAGGGATACTGACTGGTGACAGTATGTTAAAAAAAAAATGTAAAAAAATAAAGAATTTTAAAATTTTTAATCAGTTTTACATTTTTTTGACCATTGTAAAATAAATTTTGTTCTACTTACTTTCATCAGAGTAGTTTGGTGTCATCATAGTAACACTGTACTACTCTGGGGGGGTTGAGCAGGTATTTTTTTCTAACACTTTGATTGCTGTTACAGTGAAGATCATTGTACCAGCAATGCTTTGAACTGTCATGAGTTTCATTCAGCTGTGATTACTAGTGCTCTCTGATTGGCTACAGCTAATCACATGGTACACGGTCAAAACCCATTGTGTCACGCTCCACTAATATTACAATTAAATATACATATACATATAAATATATGAATAATATAAATTAAATTAGATGAATAAAGTACAACAAAATTATATCAAGTGACTGAGTCTTGATATATTTCCACAGCTTGATATAACAATCACGCTAGTATTGCATGCATATCTTTGAAAAGTCCATGATCCTATGGTGTCTTCTAATGGTGTATTACAAAACAAATATATTCCACCAATTCATATTTATTGTGCTCCTTCACCAGTTGTGCTCTCAGCTGACGTATATAACCAAACTGTTAAGTGAGGTCATACAAGTTTGTGTCCCTTTAACTGGGCTCAGAGGTGGACAAATGGATAAATCCCTGCATGATCCTTAATAACTATTTCCGCCATGTGTATTATACTTGCTGTGTGGTTAACAATTTTGCATGACCCCCTATATTTGGGACACTCCAATATAATTGCTATGTGGTTGCTATAAATATTGTGACGTCAAGCCCCTTCCCTACACGATTAACCTACTGGGTCATGTGCGCTTGCATCCAAGGAAACTGATTGGACGGCACAGCGCATATTGACTCTGATATAGGTTAATCATATCCAGTGGCCCAATATTTAGGGCAATTATTATGAATTCAATTCACAACGGGGTCTTAAAGGCAACCACATAGCAAGTATATTGGAGTGTGGCAAATATATTAAGGATCATGCAAAATTGTTAATTACATGGTATAAATACACATGGCGGAAAAAGTTTGAAAGGAATCAAGAGACCCCCTAGTGGGAAGAGGGATAACTCCATCCATCCACCTCCAGGAAAAAGATCCCTAGGAAACAGCGAGACCTCCTGCTGAGAAAAAAGGAAAAACTCCATTCATCCATCCATCTGGGATACAGGGATTTATCCATTTGTCCACCTCTGATCCCAATTAAAGGGACACAAGCTTGTATGACCTCACTTAACAGTTTGGTTATATACGTCAGGTGAGAGCACAACTGGTGAAGGAGCACAATATATATGAATTGGTGGACTATATTTTTTTTTGTAATGCACCATTAGAAGACACCATAGGATCATGGACTTTTCAAAGATATGCATGCATAACTAGTGTGATTGTTTCATCAAGCTGTGGAAATATATCAGGACTCAGTCACTTGATATAATTTTGTTGCAATTTATTAATCTAATTTAATTTATATTATTCATATATTTATATGTATATTTAATTGTACTGATAGTGGAGAGCGACACCACGGGTTTTGATTTGTTTAGACACACTGGTATGAATATGTGTGTATAGTGTAGGCAACCCACATATTTATTTTATTTAATTATTTATTTATATACTTAATAATTTGTGTACTAGATTAATTGATTCATTGCTCATATATCAAACACACGGTGATATATTAAATAATCTGGTAGATTTCCTATACATATATTCACTTAAAGTATACGCCATAGTAGCTCACAAGAATCACATTTATTAACAGGGTACAAGGTGCTGTGATTGGCCCAGGTACCATGTGATAGCTGTGGGCTAATCACAGCTCACTAGTATAGGAAGCAGAATTGTTATGAATGGAATTCATTCATAACAGCTTTGTTGATACTGTGATCATGTGCATAGTGATCTCCTAATCCCTAGGCCGCTAAATGTGCCCCAGTTGCGTGAGCCGCAAATCGCTGTGTCCTGTGACACAGTGCTTGCGGAAAGAAAGGGGGGAGGGTTTAAATGGGAAAGTTTTACTTCCACAGTGGAAGATTTTTTTGTGGAAGCTCCTTGGGAGCTTCCTCCTCTTCCAAATGGAGAACACCTAACCACTCTACTCAGGCTTCAACTTCAAAACCGAAATTCAGCCTTTCCTTTAGGCACAAGACTTTTGCTCACAAAATCCACCAAGTTTTCCCCAAAGCCCTCTTCCCAGTGAAGGGAACTCTTTAACAGTGGGGGACATCTATTAAAATTGCCTCTCTCTGGGTCACAGATCATTCAGACCTTTGGGTTTAATCTCTGCCTCCTCACTGGTTTCTTCTCTCAAATCAACAAAAACTGTCAATGGACAGTCAGATTTGCAGAATGCCCTGGATTATCTCTTGTCCCAGGGAGTATTTGTGCCAGTACTCCCACAAGACAGGTTCAAAGGTTTTATTCAACCTTTTCCCAGAACCAAAGCCCAAAAGGTGTATTTGTCCTATTCTGGACTTAAAAACCCTCAATCTAACACCTTCAAATTCCACAAATTCACATTGAATCCGCAAGATTGATTATTGCCTCTCTGAAACTGGACCTTCTGTCCGTAGACAGTGAAGATGCCTATCTGCATATTCCCTTTTATCCACCTCATCAGCTTTTTCTGTGCTTTGTTGTGGCAGACTGTCATTTCCAGTTTCATGGAATGAGAAGTCTCTCCATCTTACACTGCTTTCTGTATTAAGCACAAGACAGCCTGCACCCTTACATTGCTGTGAGACACCGGATTATTTTAGA